TAGAGCAGTGGGTGACTGCAGCAACCAGGTGCATCCCACCAGGGCCATCTGGCAGTAGGTATTGCAGGGAAAGGTTTGGATTCAGATCGGGAACATCCTGGGGAACACTGTATATTCACAAAGGAAATAACACCCATAGACAGCAGTGATGCCCCTTTGGCCCCCAAGCTGGCCAGCAAACATTCAATGAAATGAAAAGTAAAACTACCCTGTGGTAGTTTTTGCTTGAAAGAGATGAAGCTGCCATGCCACATAGCACTGCGGGGCCTTTGTACTGCTGCAGATCTGCTGATCAAGCCAGAAGCAGCTTGGACCCAAAGGCAAAAGAGGGAGAAGCGTTACAGTGAGCAGGTAAATCAGTGACGGGATCTGAGCAACAGAGACAAGGCAGCCGCTGCAGGAACCAGGACTTTATCCCTAGACCTTGCAAAATATGTGTCTTAGTCAGAGGAATACACACACTAGTCTCCTTTCTTATTAAAAAACAGACAAGACAAAACAAAAACAAAACAAACAAACAAAAAAAACCACCAAAGAAACCCCAACCACTGACACACACAAAAAAAGAGATAAAAGCTTCATCTTCCAAGAGGCCTGTCAACAGATTTTGCGTTGGTTTAAGCACTCCCTCAATTTGCAGAAGGATTTCATTAATTTCTAAGTGCGATTTTCCACCAAGGCAACACTCATGGATCCAGAACGCTCCATGATCACAAGGACAATAAATACACTGTGGAGTCACACTAGTCTGAACTCTAACAGTTCATGATATCTCTTACAGATGCATCCAAACATCCCATCTCTTGAGCACGCTTTTACTACCACAGCATCCATGTGAGTGGTAACATTAAGTGACACCATCTGTCACTTAAACGTGATCCAGCTCATTCAGGGCCATCAAGCTCCTGCGAGAGCTCAGGGAAAATGCAGAGCCAGGCAGGCATTCCTGCTTCTACCACTTCGCCATTTTCCCTCAGTTTGGGCCTTGGACTTAAAAGCAGTTTTTGAGATTTTCCATTTCCAGTACAGAGGCACCTTTTGCTGCCACGTCCAAATGTTTTTGCCTCTGTGAGTTGCAGGTGAAGCTCTGCAATGGTGCAGTTGTGAGACTTGGCTTGGCACATTTTGGCAGCGTGAACACTGCTCTTAGCAAAAAGGAAAAAAGAAAAAAGAAGTGCTCAGTCAATCACCAGAAACCTTTCATCCCAGGAAGGCCACGTCACACCGGCCCTGCAGCCCACCCCAAAACCCGAGCTTGGCTTCAGTATGGAGAGTAAAGGCTGCAAGGGCTGCCTTCCCTCAGCTGTCTTGCACCTTGCGTACTTCAACTCCTTCATAAAGGCATGACATGACGACATCCACTTAAAAGATCTGTAGGTTAAAAGAACAAACAAAAACTTGTGCGTGTTTTCTTTTTTAATAAAAACAAGACACCTGCAGGCACATCTCTGCTTGGTGACGGGCCAGGCGAACAAACACATGGCAGATGTTGCTTGTGCTGCTTGGTGGATGCAGAGAGATACTGGGAAATGATGGCACCATGCTGGGCTCACAGTGTGCGGAGTGGGACAGCCCAGGCAGCAATGGGACAGGCAGTGGGGATTTCAGCATGGCTGGAAGCTCAGCATGAGGTGGGAATGATGGGACTAGCGAGAGCAGAGCAGGAAGGAAAGGCAATAAATACCTTGCTGCTGCCTCTGGGAGGAAGCCAGATGAAGCATTCCTATCACAAAGATGAAACACCACTCTAACAGTAACTCAGGAAAACCTTCAACAACCATTGCACAAGGCAAGTGTTAAAAATACAGAAAGTCTGGATATCCTGCACCTCAAAACTTTCACAAATGTATCTGTTTTTAGAATACCCAAACTACTCAATATGACAAGAAAGACCGGAGAAGCTCCAGAGGACAAGAAAGCTGATATTGTGCCAGCATTTTGGAAAAGTAAACAGGATGGCCTTGTAAACAGGTGTGTCTATTCAACAGTCATTCCATGCAAAATAATGATGGAAAAATATGTGATCGTATCGATAAACACTTAAAACAAAAAAGTATAAATATCAATCATCCAGCATTACAGACAGCAAACCTGTCATGCCAACATGATAATTTTTCTGGCACTGTGTACTTTGAAATCTCTGCGAGAGAGCTGGCTGGTACCACAGCGCTGAAGGAACAAGGCTGCCAACAGTGTGAGGCAGCAGAGGAGATCGGTGCTTCCTGGGAACTGGAACAGACGATGTGCTTCTAGCAGGGAATGCTGAGCAGCTTTAAGCTGATGACATGGAAGGAAACAAAATAATGGCAGGTAAAGCATGCCACCCTGGGAGCCAGGGGCATAGCAGCAATCTGGAGCCTCTGCAATTTTGTGAGCAACATGTGTCCACTCAGACATCTCCAGAGCCTCACTGCCACCCAGGCAGGTCTGGGGGAAGCTCAGTGCCTGCGCTCCATCACACCCCTGCACTCCAGCTGGGGCACAGGGAGTCAAGCAGAGCTTCCTGAGCCACAAGCCTCCTCTCTGCTGAAATTACCTGGTTGGGAAGAGACATGTTCACTGAGTAACTAGACGAGGCGGGACGTAAAGCCCCAAGAGCTCTGAGTGCAACAGTCCCAGTGCATGTGAGGAGAGCACCTGTCCTTGAGCACCTGCTGCCACATCAGGACACAGCCCAAGCCTTGCCCTGGTCCCACGAGGCTGGTCTTTTATTCTGACACACTGGGAATGGTGAATCCCCACAGGACTTAGCGGCCACAGTTACAGTCAGTGGACCATGAATTTCCAGTGTGACTTTATGGGTAAAAGGCCTATTCCCATTCCCTGCTTAAACATCTGAGCACTGGCAGCAACTAGATGTGATGTTAAGGTAACTCAAACTGCATTTGAAATTCCCATTCCCACAGCTTGAATAGCGTGTCCTAGCCTCACGCCCCAGAGGACACAAATGCATTAAGAACATTTGGACAGGAGCCAAAGGCTAGGAAAAAAAATACATGCCTTTTAAAGCAAAAGGCTTTGAGACTTCCATCAACATAGTTTATCATTACCAAGGACTTGATCCCAGCAGCCAGGCTCCTCTCCCTGAGACTAACAGCTGGGGGTTCCCTGTCTGAGAAGATCCACCAGCCTGAATGGGAAGAAACGCAGCATCCACATAAGCACACTAGGTAACGAAAACGAACCTTTACAGCAACCTACCAGCCACTGCACAGTCATATCACTTCAGGATCAACTGTTTTCCTAACAATAATTTATACAAGAACTAATTCAGGACAGGCTGTGTCATACAGGAAGTTACACTGGCGAGCTTGCCGGCCTCCCCAGTGCTGTAATCTGCAGAAAAAAACCCTGCCCGTATTTCCCTTCCTCTCATCCAAGTGTGTGAAAGGTCTGGCCTGCCCTACTGGAGGCGTTTTCAGAGGGCCAGGTTAGTGTGGGTGGCAGGCAGCCAAGCTCTGCCCATGTTCCAGGCTGCCCCAGTCCTGACATATTTTAGCTTTATAAGGAAGCCAGTCTGGGGGACAAAGCAAAGCAACGCAACTTCCCAGAGCCGAGGCTCCATGTATGATCACAAGCAGCACGGATCTGGTGCAAGCTCCTCTGACATTTTTCTGCCTTCCTTCCCAGCCAAAACAAGGAGGGGGCTAGGGCAGGGAGCAGCCATCCCTGCAGCACTCAGCCCCTTGCTGGGTACGGCCTGTCATACAGCTCTCAGCACTGCCTAAAAACCTTGCACCAGAGCCAGCTGAGCGCCCCTGCTTTCACACCAGTTCCCCACAGCAGTCAGTAGCTCCTGACAGCGCAGTGAGCTCTGCGTTAGGAGGGAAGACACTGCTGCAGACATGCAGCTGGATTCATTCATAATGTGGTTGCTTTGCTGATCACACAAACTATGCATCCAGTTAAATTACCTACTTGCCTGCTCAGTGCTTTTCAAGCCACCATCCACAAAACCTCAGCAACACAAGGATTTCTTCTAAGCAGCAAGAAAGAATAATGTGGCAAAATGTTTCTCTGATGAATAGATCTTAATTCACAACAGGGTGTGCAACTCCAGTGAACAACTCCCAGGGTCTGCATGTTTAAGAAGGCTGATAACTGCTCTGGTCACAGTTTTCTGGAGCAGAGTCTTCCCAAAGTTTCATTTGGGAAAACAGCCCACAGCCTCCACCAATGCAATGGATCTGATCAGTCCAGAGGCAAGCGGTGCAGGAGCAGCTGCAGACTCTATCTGCCAAGTGGAGATTTCCTCACCCTTAAGATTGCTGACAGATGCTGTTGAGTAAAATACAGTACTGACTTTCACCACAAGTCAAAAAGGAAGTCCAGGCAAAAGCAGCAAGAAGCAAGATGATTCTCTTTCAGATAGCTAGCACATACTAGTATGCTCTGGGGGTATGCATCCCCACCCTTGATTTGCAGAGGAATCCTTCATTAGGCAGATTATATGTTACAACTCAAGGGCAGAAAGAGAACAGGGATGGCTTCACAATGCCTAGTTTCAAAGAGAAATGGGCAGATTCCATGGCCTGGTTAACTGAAGTGCTACAACCCTGAGCAGAACCAAAAGACCTCCCTGAAGCAAATAATTACTTTTAAAGTAGCTTAGAAACTTTATAGGAATGCAGAAGCAGGAAACTATAGAAGTAAAATCAAATCCAGCTGGGATTTGCAGCAGCATCAGAACATAAAAGCTCAGTGCTTCAGCTCTTGAAATGCTGTTTTCTGACTGTGGGTCCTGCAATAGTTGTCACCAATATTTTGCTTTCCAGGGAATAGCCATGATAGGCTTACAAAGAACAAGATGTTTACTATTTATGTTTGTACCCTGCTGACTCACTATATACACTCTCACTATCTACACACCCAAGCCTGCAGCTCCAGCACCCTCCAGCATCCAGCCTCCAATGTTTCTTGTCTATTTTGGTCTAGAGCTCTCTATTGCCTTACCCAAAGAAAAATAAGACTGCTTATGACCCAGGAGATGGACACCGGTGTCTCGCTATATGCAAAACAAAGTCTTTATTCAACAGGGAGTAGAGTAGGAACATCTTGAATCAACAGAAACAAGGAGCAGAGTGGTCCATGAAGCTCTCCAGGCTCTGTATCAAAAAAGGGTAGATGCCCTCCTGCTAGGCCCAGAGCAAATGGGATTGATTTCACAAGTAAAGCCCTCTGCTCTGGGTGAATAGAGCACTTGTCTCCAGAAGACATGGCCACTAGCAGCTCCACACAAGCCACCCAGCACTAAAAGAAAACCCAGGGAAGGGTCTCATCACTCCCAGCTCTGTGGACATAGTGTATATATGCAAAGGGACTGAGAAGTTCTGTAAGAAATCCACATGCGCTGGGTCCAGCAGGAACAATGTGGTAACTGCTGTTCCCTGGGTCTGCTTCATGTTGGCTCATCTCTGATATGGATGCATTGAGGCAGACTTGATGTTTGTTTTTATGCCGCTTGGCATCTTTCCTGGAGAGAGAAAAAATAAAGAGCAATACAAAATCAGCACTAAGAAAGTTAATTCGCTCAAGAGTGCGTAAAGAGTACAACAGTCCTACCCAAACTTTGTCTTTTCCGCTCCAGGCACCACATCAGGCTTACTACTACAGCACCCTTCAGCTTATGACCAAATATAATCACTCTCTGCTACAAATTAGCACTTTTCTTTGCTGAGAAATCTCCTTGACATTTCCTGCCAGGACCTACGTCCCCTTGCTAGTTCTATCCTCACTCCATCTTAAGACCTTATCAGGAGGCTCCAACAGGAGCGTGGGACACATTCAGTCCCATAGAGCTTGCTATCAACAGCCCTGACATAAGAAACCAAACTGATCCCCGCTTTATTTCAGAGACAAGCACAATGGGCTGTATCCTCTTCTACACAGCATTATATTTATCATAACCACATGCACCTCTTGGGCATTATTGCTTTTGCTGATACCAATCACACATACGAGTGTGTTCAAAGACAATACTAGCAGCCTAGGATAAGCGTACAGGGTTAGACAAAACTCAGATTATCACAAAAATTTTAAAAAGATAGCAATTAAAGATCCACATGGAGGGATATTCAGAGAACTCTCCTTCAAAAAGCACCATGTGTGCTCAAATGAGAACAAAATCTGGTCACTTCCGAGAACTGAAAGTGTAGAATAGCAGGAGAAGAATAAATATGTCATAGAATAGAAGTGTTTAACCTCTCTCAAAGACATCTAAAGCAGGCCACTGCCTGCAATGAATTGGCAGGTAATCACAGAACGGCTTGGGATGGAAGCGACCTCAACCTGATGTCTCGTCAGTGTTTGCTAACAATCAGAAGACAAATACTTTCACATATTATTTCAAAAGGAAGAGTGAACAGGACCGTAGGGTTCACCCACATCTGTGTTACTGTAGTAACTGCAGTTCTGGTCCTCCTAGTCTTGAAATTATGTAGAAGAGACAAAAATTACCCAAACTATACTAAACTTCTCACACAAAATTATATTGAGCAGAGTCAGTTGGGAAAAAAAGAAAAAAATGGATGCAGGGAAGAGGACACAACAGACTTCCAAGAAGTGAAAAACAGAACGGAGAAGGTAGCTGAAAAAATGATTATTCAGTCATTGACTATTTCTCACAACACAGATAAAGAAGAAACATCTTATGGTAAACAATATATTAAAAAAAGGAAATTATTTTAAGCAAGACATACAATAATACTGTGGGATACATTGTCACAAGCCTCGTAGGATTCTATACTGTAATTCAAAAAGGAACTGCAAAATTTATGGCTCTTACACTCACCGGTCTTAAATCAAGCTCTGGCTTAAAACACCCCTGAACAACAACAGCTAGAGGTGGCTGTCAGGATATAGCTTGTTCTTACACTCTTCCAGCCTCCACCATGGGCCACTCTCAGGACCAAGACAATGGGACTGACCTTTGGCCAAACAGTACAGCTCTTATCAAAAGAGGTGTGGTGGTTACACAGGCTGGACAAATGTTCTTGTAAGCAGTGCACACAACCTAAAGTACAGAAGTCATATAAGATGGGATGTCCTCCCATCCTGGAGACAGTGTTTGTGCGTGCAGCCAGAAATCACAGAGGACTTCTTCGTTTCCAAATCACAGTGGAAATTATTTTCTAAATACATAATTAACCTTGGATTAATATCGTTGCTCAAGTTCATTTCTGAACAACACAGTCATTACATAAGCAAGAAAACACCAATTAAAATATCCAATACCTAAAATCTCCATTAGTATGGCAGTACAAAGTTAGGCCTGCAGAGCTAATATTTTCATTAGTGCTTTCACTGATCCTTCCATACTGTGGGAAACTCCATGCAGTTTCTTTACACAATTTGGGATTTTAAGGCTTCTATACCTTCTTCCTCCTACCTCCAGGCTAGGTCCAGTAGCTATCCTCAGAATGAACTAACAAAACTTTCTGAAGTCTTCCTTCAGAAGCCACAGTGAAAGCCACTCCAGACCTTTGAACGTTAACACTCTTCCCTGAGCTTTTCCAATTCTACTGTAACTTGTTTTTTTGTTTAGTTTTTCAGAGATCAGAACTGTGTTTAATGTAGATGTTGGTGCTTAATGGATTTATACAATGATACTCTGTGTCTGTGTTTCTTCCCTAGCAATTCCTTAGGTTTATGTTTTTAGCCTCAGCTGAACATCCAAAGATCCAATCATGTAACTAGGTTAGAGCCTAGGTACTGGTCAAGTAAAGTCAAATCACTTTTGCTCAGGTGTTTCACCTGATACTTGACATAAATGCAATCTATTAAGTATATGAAGTCCTTCTTTGGCTCTTTTCAGACACCTTCCCCCTGTTGCCCCCCCAACTTAAATCCCTACAAAACACATTGTGATTTCTCCACACTGAGCCCTACATTCACAAACTTTGTAATTAAACAGGTACTGTAGTGCAAGTTAAGAAGCTGATAGTTGCGATCTACTTCAAACTCTGAGACAATTTTAGATAAGTATTAATCCACTTTTACACCCTGACTTAAATCCTTAGGGACAGAAAAGATCCTCTTACTCAGTAATATTTAAAAAGTGACTGGAGAAGGATCTCTACATCTGCATTCACCTTTCTTGCTTCCCGCATTTCAGTCACTGTCAGATGTGCAGCATATTTACCTGGCTGCCCTGCTTGTGCCATCTGCACTCCTGCCAGCATTGGCTGCTGCTGAGCTGGTGCACTTGACATTGGCACCTGCTGCATGCCTGAAGCCCCCGCAATGATGGCACCAGCTCCTGGTTGACCCGACTGGACAGATCCTCCAGAGCCCGGGGGTCGCCGGTTTGACAATCCTTTCCCAAAGGCCACAGCTGCCACCAGTGCATTGGTATCTGTAGGGTTGAAAGTCTGTTTGTTCTGTCGTAATCCTGTGGAAAATAAAAAAGTTTTTGAGCATTATGGCAATGGAGTCTGAAAATTATCACAGCTGGTCCTGAATTTACTTTTTTGATAGTTTGCTTGGCACGTGCTGCTCAAGGAAGGGGGTCAGAAGAAGCCAACTCCTCCAAACATGAGAGTGCCCCCAAAAACACTTTTCCATGTTTTTGTTTGTGCTCATCCTCACTTCCCATTCTTTAGGCTCCCTGCTTTACCTATTTTTCCACTGTTCTCAAGTCAGCTGCTTTGACCATGTACTCCATTTCCACCTCAACAACATACCTCCACTTTCAGATTCGCGTTCCTCCTTACTGATTTTCTCCAGCAGATTTGAACACATTTTATTTAGGCTTTGGATCTGTTTCTGCAAAATAAAAATCACTGGTAACTACCAGGATACTTCCAACGCCGTACAAGTCAGCAAGGCAAATGAGCCATCTTTCTCTTTTTAGAGCAACCAAATATAAATATTTTGGTATCAGAGCCTAGACAGCCCAGTTCCAATGCATGCAGGAGGACACTACTGGGATGTTACAGCTTTTGCCTTTCTTTGACTGGTCTGATAGCACCTCCTGTGAGCAGGCAGTAAGCTGGGTACCCTTGTTATGTGAGATTTGTAACCCAAACATCAGCTAGGGCTATCTGGAGATATCTCAGGCAGAAGAGGGCATACCAACAAAGGAAACCGTTAGCTATAAGCTTGAAGAAAACTGAATTAAAGGGCATCTTGAGTCCTAGGACTAAGTGACAGAAGTATCAAACTCTTCTTCACCTACCTGTGCTCCATCAGGGCTAATGCGAGCTGCATCTGTGATCAGTTGCTTTTCCTGCTCCTCCACCTCCGGGTCAGGCTTAGTTCGCAGGTGGTCAGGCACAACCTCGTGGCTGAAGACTGGCACGCGCCCCTCTGTCTGCCGCTGCAACAGTTGGACAACACACACTCAGGGTCCCCTCCTCCAGCTAAGCCCTCAGGCAGCTGAAGAGCAGAGCACAGGACACTGGAACAAGACCTAGTAGAATGCTGTGGGAAAACCTTGGCCTGGGGGAGCATTACACAGAATCACAGAATCACAGAATTGTAGGGGTTGGAAGGGACCTCCAGAGATCATCGAGTCCAACCCCCCTGCCAAAGCAGGTTCCCTACAGCAGGTCGCACAGGTAGGCATCCAGGCAGGTCTTGAACATCTCCAGAGAAGGAGACTCCACCACCTCCCTGGGCAGCCTGTTCCAGTGCTCCGTCACCTCACTGTAAAGAAGTTCTTGCGCACATTTGTGCGGAACTTCCTATGCTGCAGTTTCCAGCCGTTTCCCCTCGTCCTGTCTCCACTCACCACTGAAAACAGTCTGGCCTCGCCATTCTGCCCCCCACACCTTAGATATTTATAGACCTGGATCAGGTCCCCTCTCAGTCTCCTTTTCTCAAGGCTGAACAGACCCAGTTCACTCAGCCTTTCCTCGGAAGTTTCAATGATCTGTCTAAGAATTTGCTCTGTGTCTGTTTGGTCAGACCAACACACAGGAATCTGCAGTCCCATACGCTGCCTGACAGTTTGGCCGGAGTCAACTGAAATGCTTTCTCACCCAAGCAAAGAATATTGCCAGGGCATGCTATAGGTTCTGTAATACACCCTGTGTTGGTAAGATGATAATCAGTGCAAATTGAGATGTAACTGTCAGACAAACTGCACAGCTATGGCAGTGAAAATCAAGTAAGGCAGCCTTCCAGTTACACAGTGAGATATCACCTCCTTTGTCCTTGACTTCATGAAAATAATGTATTTAGCAAGGGTATATCCTGTAAAGTATGTCCACAGCAAATGTTTGTGAGTGTACACTCACCCCCCAGCAAAGCAGCTCCAAGGAAGAACTACTCATAACCTTTTATTTCTGTACACTCAGAGCTGAGGAAAGCCAAAGGAACGCAAAGAACTGCAAACTGAAGCAGGGATGTTGCAGATTTTGACACTCCTGGTCCAACACTCAGTGGGAAGTTTCTTACCATGATCTCCTCATCACGGTCTGGAGACAGCACTAAGGGGATGATAACCTGGTTTCGCAATAGTGGGGTCTTCTCATGCTTTAGCACTTTATTTAAAGTGTTCAGCTGTCCTGAGAGCAATGCAAAGCTGTCCAGAACTGAAGGCCTGGGAAAGAGAATAGAACATGGAAACAGATACCACAGATGGCTTTTATCTGTTCCTCATTCAAATATCTGGGAACCAAGGAAATAACATTCTTATTTATCCAAACAGTAAAGAGTAAAACCTAGAGCTGAAAGTGTAGGTGTGGACAGATTCCAGACTCTCTACGTACAGTGCTGCAAATAGCCAAGGGACTTTACAAGTATCATTGGAAGTGGCAGTTGTTTGGGATTTCTGTAACATACACAGGAGCAGTGCATTTCTGATCACTAACTCTCCCAGTGAAATTCTAAAGTGAAGTCTTGAGACCCATATTCACTCCTAAGCAGCACAGCCAAGAGAGACAGTTTTTATATCTCGGCTATCAAGACTAAGGGATAATAAAGCAAAATAATGGATAATCTTGTCAAGAAGATCCCCTTCAGTTTGCTCTCTCTGGGGACTTCATCGCCTACAAATGCTGTCTGTGAATCTTTGCAGCAGAAACTGTCTAAGATAGTGCATAGTTAAGATACATCAGCCTTATGGTCCACCAGGAAGAGAATACCACCTTTCAAGTCTCTCAGATTGTCTGAGAAAACATGCCAAACAAGAAAAACACAAGCATAGAAATGCAGTTTATAACAGAAACAGAGAAAGCCAAAAAGGTCAAGAAATGCAGAAAGAATGTTTACTTATTTTGCAGCATACGTGGGTCTCTAAGATATTTTTGTCCAAAGAGTTTTCAGTCCCTGCAGATGCAAGCAACTACACCAGTTCCCATAAAGCACCTAGATTCCAGGTGTTGGTATGAGTACTACAGCACAGTGCAGAAGAAATGAATCTCAACTGTTTTTCTGGTGGCAGTTCAATGGTTCCTCCAACATTAACATGAAAAGCAAAGGTAAGCCTGTGGACAACGAGTTAGTAGCTTTTAATTACACTTTTTGAGCAGAGTCGGGAAGAGCTTCAGCAGTGATCAGTGGCAGTGCCCTGTGAGATGCCTTACCAGGTGAGCCGATCGTACTCATTCTCCAGCTTGTAGATAAAACTGACCAATGAGTTCTTCAGGTCAGCCACCTGGCTGATAAGTGCCTCCAGGGTCAGCTCTAGCTGCTTCTCCTCTCTCTAAAAAAAAGAAGGGAAGATAAGGGTAAGGACAAAGCTTAGGACCTTTCTGATGACAGTGGGGATCCATATACACGCATTCATACACTACTCTCTCCTACAGAGAGACTCCTTTTCAGAGCAAGAAAACAGAGACCCTAGAGATAAAAACCCTACATCTTCACTCTGACCTTGCCTCCTTGAAAGGAATATTTAGGAAGAAACTTGTACCTGAGTCAATCCATGGCTAGCTGTCATTTTTAAGATCTAGATGAGTGAAAACTATACATCACTTACATCAGACAGTAATCAGTTACCTTGCACCACCTTTGTGAGTTATTCATGCTAACCCAGCTCAAAGCAGATCAGCATTCTCTGAACCCTTTCTGACAGCAGATGCAAGCACAGTGCTGTCTTCACCCAGCATGGCCATTTGCAAAACGAGTATCAGATCAATGGCCTAAAGACTCCAGTTTCTGCCCTTACCCTCATTTCTCACTTTCTTTCTGTCAAGGTGCCACATCCAGCTCCTAAAAAATTCCTTGTCCTTTACCAGCTGTGGAAGGTGCTGCAGTGACAGATTGTACATAGCCTGACACATGCAGAGATCATCTCCTGCCTTTTGCCCTGGTGCTCTGCTTAAATAATCTTTTCCCCTGCTGAGTGGGAGTATGGTGACACACAAAGCATCAGGAGAGGGGACCTGATGTCACACATACCACAGAATATCTTTGACGCTTGCAAAAACTCTCAAGAAACTTATCTGCTCTTGCTCATTCAACAGAATTACACAAAACGTAATTAAAGCCCCAAACCTGATGGACTGCTAATGTAAGTCCTGGACTGTACAATGATGATCCATGAGGAGGGTGGGACTCAGCAATACAATTAAATAATAGAAAGGGAATGCTCATTGGGAAAGCAGATGGGGTGACTCAGTCTGCTTGCACGCTTGCTATTGGGTTCTTTGTGCTGCTTAAACAAACTGAACTAGCATGAGATCAGCAAGTATCTCCCATGTTTAAGAGAACATGAAATCACTTTATTCATAGTCTGAGACTTCACTACCTTAGAAAAAATGGCTGAATAAATGTGACTAAAATCCACTCCCAAACCACAGCATGGATTCAAGGAGTAGACCAGGAGGTTACAACTCACAGCTACAGCACTGCAGCTCTCCTCCATGCTGTGACGGGACTAGCCTGTTCCTGTTCACTTAAGAAACAAGTCTAATGCTTACTGTGCACATTGTTTTTGAGCAAGATGAACCACTGACCGCACTACGAGTTGGGCTGGGAGCCAGCATCTCACTGCAGAGGTGGCAGGCACACACAACCAAGACAACTGGTCTGGCCCATTGCCAGCACTTATCCAAGAAGCCCTAAAGATAATGAATGAAATCACATTGCACACACACTGTGCAGTAGTGCAGTCTGAGTCTCCTCCTTTTGTACACTCTCTCCATGAGAGCTGGAAGCAAGTTTAAGCACTGCAAAGCACATGTGCACCAAGATCAGTGCTTCAAATAAATACTCTACACGTCACAGACATATGAGATATTCAAGCAGCAATTCAGACAGTTTGTTAACAACACTGAATAGTCCCAGGGCAATGAAGATAGGACTTAAGGGAGGGACTGCTGAAGTAACTCCTGATATGGAATGACTGGGAGGTAAAGGTGAAATTCAGAATAAACATAAAGTGATACACATGGTGAAACAAAGAGAAAAAAACAACCCTGACTTTATGCCCATACACTGACATTTATGAGCTGATAACACTATCACTTAGAAACAAGTTCTAAGGATTATCTGAGGGTAACCCAGGAAAACATCAGCCTGAGGCTCAAGAAATCAAGGAAGTCAAAGTAATAATGGGATTTATTATGAAAGCAGGGGACAACTAACCATTGCTGTGCCACTGTACAAATGTGTGCCTCTCTTACATCTTCCATACTGCTGATTCTCTACATCTTATATAGACACAGAACCATAAAAGCTGGTAAAGACCACTGAGATCATACAGTCCAACTACTGGCCACGTCCCTCAGTGCCACATCTCCAATTCTGTGATCCTTCCAGGGACGCTGACCTCACCGCTCCCTGGGCATCCTGTGCCCCCACATCACCGCTCCTTTGGAGGAGAAATTGTTCCTAATATCCAACCTGAACTTCCCCCAGCACAGCTTAAGGCCATCACCTCCCATCCTATCGCTGTTACCTGGGAGAGGAGGCTGCCCCCCCACCTCACCACAACCTTTTGGAGAGCTGCAGAGAACGATGGGGTCCATCTGAGCTTTTTCTCCAGACTGAACCATCCCAGTTCCCTCAGCTGCTCCCCGTAACACCTCTGTTCCACATCCTTCACTTTTCCCGTTGCCGTTCTCTGCACTCGTTCCGGGGCCTCGTTGTCCTTGATTATGGCCCCAGAACCGACCACAACTCGAGGCGGGCCTCAATCACTGTCAGTAGAGAGGGACACCCAGCATCCCGCTCCCGCGTGCTGCGCCGTGCCTGTGACAAGCCGGGAAAGCACAGCCCTTCTGGACCGCCCGGAAACACTGCTTTTACTCCTCCTTCCCGCCGGCCCTCGGCTCCTCCGGAGCCCGGCTCGCGGGACCCAAGGCGGTCCTACCGCTCCTCCCGGCCCGGCACAACACAACCCAGCCCGCAGCCCCTCACCTGCATGGCGGCGCGGCCCTGTTGCTACAGGAGCCTTCCACTTCCGGGTCAGGCGCGCAGAGGCGGGGTCAGAGGGCGCGGGGCAGAGGGCGCGGGGCGGGGCGCCGGGCGGACATGGCGGCTGCTGAGAGGCCCGAGGCGGAGGTGAGCGGGAGTGGGCTGCGGGGCCATGCGGTGCGAGGCGCGGTTGTAGCGGCCCTGAGATCGGCCGTAGAGGGGCTGGGGGGCTGTCGCGGTGCCCGGCCCGGAGTGACGAGGCGCTGTGCTCTGCGCGCTGCAGGTGGAGGAGGCCGGGCACGTCTTCCTCCTGATGAAGAAGGACTACCGCATCTCCCGCAACGTGCGGCTCGCCTGGGTCCTCAGCCGGCTCCACCAGGTCATCTGGGCCGTGCCCGAGCCCGAGCTGGTGAGTGGGGGCTGGGGAGTGCTGCAGGGATGGGTGGTGGCCCCGCATCTTGGTGTGTCCTTTGGCTTGGCGTGATGTCTCTTGCCTGTCTTTCACTTCTTGTTGTAGTTGAAGTCAGAAAACGAGCTGGATGTGCTCAGCATCCTGCCCAATGGATGGCAGCCGGATGAGCCCGTCCAGCCCCGGCCCTACCTCCTGGTGCCCTCCACGCGTGTCACCTTCCTGGCCCGCCAGTACCGCTTTGTAATCGAGCTTGATCTGAGCCCTTCCACTGGCATTGTGGTGAGTCCACGAGCTGCCTCTCTGGGGTGTTCTGTGCTGAAGGACTGGGCTTGGTTCCCTCTGCTGAGAAGTCGTGCATCTCTGCATTAGTTGTCACTTCTGCAGAGGTTCTGTATTCCCGAGGGGTGAAGCAGGTGGTGCTTCTCATGACACAGCCTTGCAATGGATCCTGTTTCCTTGCAGAATGTGTGGCCTTTGTTTGCAGGGTTCGTTCTGATGCAGCTGCTGTTGCAGAAGGAGGCTTGTACTTGTCTCTGTGTGGTGTATGCGATGAGACTGCAGATTCTAGAAGATGTAAAAGCTGTTTTGTTTACCTCTTGCAAGGCTTGGGGCACTGTGGCTGAGAGCTTCATAGAGAGAAAGGATCTAGGTGTGTTAGCTGATGGCTGGCTGAACATGGCCAGCAGTGTGTCTGGGTGGCCAAGAAGGCAACCTGGCTTGTATCAGAAGTAGTGTGGTCAGAAGAATTGAGGAGGGGTTCAAAAGCCATGGAGACGTGGCACTGAGGAATATAGTTGGTGGGCATGGTGGGGATGGATTGGCAGTTGGACTAGGCAATCTTAGCAGTCTTTTTCAGCCTTAATGATTCTGTAATTCTCTTCTGTTTCTGTAGGATGACTCAACAGGGGAGATCATTTTTGATGAAGTGTTTCATGCTCTTTCCCGATGCTTAGTGGGATTGTTAAGACCTTTCCGAATCCCTGGTTCAGACATTATTTATCAGCCTGAGATCTTTGTCACCATCCAGGCGTACTCCTCCATCATTGGTCTGCAATCCCACCAGGTAAAACTTGGCCTTGCCCTTGGCATCTCATTGCCTCAGCAGCTTGCTGCGTTGGTTTTCTGTCAGTCCAGAGGAAAGTAGGGATATCTGTTAGCTGGGCTCTGGTAACCAGGGTGTTGCAATCTTGCTTATTTAAAATGTGCAGCCTGCTGTGACAGAGAAGCGTAGGTGATCAACTTCTTTTTTCTGAGAGGAAGCAGAGGTTTCTCATAGGAGAGCAGGGCCCTTCTCAGAGCACAGGGAATCTTTGCCCTCATGACTACAGTGTGTTTTTGTTGGTGTTGCTCTGTTTGTTTTATTTTAATTTCTACTAATTCATTTTGGCCTGTTGTAATTTGAAACATTCAGGAAAAGGTGTCCAAAAGCTTGTCTGCCTGCTTCAACTGTGTAGCAGTGGTGACAATTTCCTCTTTGTACAAACTTAGTTCTTTTTTTGCATTGATAGAAATGTACTTCCCCTAGAAGTTGCCCTAGAGGGCAACCCCCCAGTAGTCTCTCATTTACTTGAGCTAGAGCAGGTCTTCTCAATACACTGAAGTTTGGCCTATCATGCCTGTGAGGTTTTTGAAGTTTGTTATTGTGTTGTTCCCTTCCATCTTACAGTGTTTTCATGTCATATTCACTTTTCTGGTGTTGTATCCTCTTTGCCTCCTTGTTCTGTGATACCTGGTTTTGGCAGAAATTGCCTGTACCATGGTGCCATAAATGGCATCTTTGTGCCAGCCAGCATGGGTAACTTCTGTGGAGGCAAGCTCCCCCTGTCGTATCACTCAGCCTCTTTTGTAATGGCCAGTCTAACTCCTTTCTAACTCCTCCTTCCTTAATTTCAACATATTACTCCACTGTCCAGCCACTTACTAGAAGAGAAATGTATCATTCAGTAGGTGAGTTAGAAGAAACAGATCTTTTTTAGAAATGTCAGGCCAGAGTTAATGCCTTCTAACAAGGATCCCGTGTTAATTTTTTTTTTTTTTAGAAGAAGGCAAAAGAGTAGAAATTTTTCACTTAAGAGCAAAATCTCCCAGAGCTGTGAGCATCTGCACGAAGTGCACTGCAGATGCCATGGAATTCTGTTGCATACAGGCAGTTGGCCCCAGACTGGAATAGTGACAAGGGGCCTACGCTCTACTTTGTAAGGGACGTGTCTGAACTGTGTTATAGGGATTGATACCATAAAACTCTTTGACTGATGTGTGCGTCCTTGGGCCAGGTGCTATTCCAGGGCTGCCAGCTGGATGAGACAAAGAGAGAAGCCTTTCTGCACCAAGTTTACACACAGCTGTGTGCCTTTGAAAACAAAGTGGCAGAGATGCTCCAGCAACAGTATGAACCCAAACCACAGGTGAGGAGGTCAGAGGTGGATGGGGTTTCTTGGCTAAATAAAGATCTGTACTGTGGAGCCCTGTGGGTGGAGTGGCAAATAGAGGAACACTGTTGTAAGTCTGAAGAAGGAACAGCTAAGGAGTTTGTAAGAGAACTTCGTGGGGTCTAATAATGAGAAATGAATCTGAGAAAAGCAGAACCAGTAAATGTTTAAGGGAAGGACTAATGAAAACAGTTACCTTTTCCAATGATAACAATGAAGTGCTTAAATAAAGTGTGGCAAAGCAGCCTGTTGACTTTGATATCATTGAACAGGCTGTAGGATGCACTCTTGAGTGAAAACACTTCTTTGTTACCAGGAAAACAAACCATGAAACTAAGTATACTGGAGCAGTCTCTAATACTCTTGAATCCTTTGGCAAGGATTAGCCAAAGTTGTTCCTTAGCCAAAGACATAGGTGGCAGCAGCTTAATGACAGTGCTATGGAAATAGCATTGGAGGAAAGTAAAAATGAAATTTTCTAGGGATTCAGAGTGTCTGTGGATTTCTCATCAAGATCATCTCCCTAATTTTGGAGACAAGGAATGTGAAGGTTATGTTGCAGTACTGCCATGCTGATCTAGAGTGAGAATCATATCTATGAGGACTTTTTCTGCAGTCAAAGGCAGTGTTGGCCTGGTCATGGTTATTTAGTCCTTATTTTAAAATTATTTTTTAATATTTGGCAAAACAAGACAAAAAAAAAAGAAAAAGAAAAATCTCAACCAGGTGAGCAAGAGGCTACTGGTGACCTCTTGCAGTTGTGTATCTGAAGTGCTCAACGTCTCACACTCGAGCTGAAATGTTTGTCTCTGAATGCTGAGACCATCAGTGCTGCAACAGGAGGAGGACTACAGGAAGCACAGCTTTCCTGTGTGTGCAGCTGGTGTTTTTGCAGTGCTTTGTATGCATTCCTATGCGCTGCAGTTTTTCTCTCATAGTCAACTGGCCTCTAACTTCTTCCATGCAAATGGAGGTAAGGGACGCCTTTGCAGGCCAGAGAAACTGGCAGGTCCTGCCACGGGCTGTGAGGTGGAGGTGGGAGGCCCCAGGGGAAGGGCAGCAACTGAAACTTTTTTTGTTTTCACTTTTGGAATTGCATTGGCTAGATTGTTGTCAACAAGTGGCTGAATTGAAGGCAGCTAGCAAATTAAAGTGATGGATAGTCACTTTTTTTTTTTTTTTAACTTTCAGTGACAGACTGCTCCCATTTGTGCAGAACAAAAGCTTCACTTGTTCTAACTTCTCCCAGCTTCAGTCGTCTGTGTAGCTTTGCTGGGGAGGGTCTCATCCATTCTCTGCATTAGCAGTAAAAATGAAGCAATAGTTTATTATAGGGTTGAACTGCCAGAACCTTCTGGAGATGAGGAGACTGTGTACATAGTAGGTTCCTCAGAGCTGTAATTATACAAATTCCAGGCTTTGCCTGGGGAGTGTTTTTCACAGAAGCCTACCTGCATTTGCTTGTGGCAGCACTGCATAACTAGTGCTGTCTGAACAGAGTTAAGCATGTAGGCACTGGACTTTGTCTTTACAAAGCTCCTTACCCCCCTCTGCTGCTGTGCTTTGTAGATGAGCTATAGTTGTCTCAGTGTCTTCTGCATTTCTGAGCTTGAGTAAGTGCTGAGAAGCTGCAGCTTCTTTCAGATGACAAGGAAGATGAGAGACATTCAGCATCTTGAGCTGGGAGCTGCTGTGCTCCGCAAAGAAACTTGAGCGACGCTGACGTTTCTCATCTTTCCTGTTAGAAATCAACATATGTAATAAAGCTCTGAGCACATTGTCCTCTTCCATCCCAAGCACCCTTGCCTAACTGCTATAAGGGGACCATGTGACTACAACTTGAAAACTAAAGTTAAAAGTGGAGTCTGTTGAAGTGCTCCAAGGCTGTGGTACTGTGGGAATTGCTAAACTGAAGGCGTTTGGGAGAGTGGGGCATTATGATATTGGTGTTTTTTTGTTGTTTTCATTTCTTCCTTTCCCAGGTGGATTTATCACCCCTGAGCCAAGAGAGCCCTGGTGATGTGCAGGAGCCTTCTGGGAGGAAGCCCAGCGTGTCTGTTGTCACTGCTGATGTTGGCCTTGTCAGCATGGTTCGACAGGGGATCTTGGCACTGCAGCTACTACCCTCAAACTCCAGTGCAGGTTGGTTTCATTCAGGTTGCCTAGCTGTTTGTGGAGGGTTGTTCTCCTCCTGTCATTGGCTCATGAATCTTGTGAAGGCCAGCACGTGGACCCTTCTGTGAGCCACTGGTGGGAATGGGGAGGAGAACAGTACTGCTCTCGTATCATGCATCTGCATTAGGGAGTTTGGGAGGAAGTATGACTGTGTATGTTGCTTGGAGTAACTGAGTGTGCAGAACCAGCCCAGTTTGAGTGCTTCACTATACCTGCTCAGGAAGCTTGCCAGCCCCAGAACACCTTGGAAGCTCTTGGTGTCAGTCCCAAGGCTTTTTGTACTAAGACAGTCTTAAGATTTTGATTTCTACTTCTGCCCTACTTAAAATTTATTCCCGCTGCATGTACCAGGGGAGTGATAGCTGTTTGAGATGGAAGATGCTCTAAGATACTGCTTTCTCTGCAGGTATAATAATAATTACGGATGGTGTGACTAGTGTTCCTGATGTAGCCGTGTGTGAGACTTTACTCAACCAACTCCGCAGTGGCACTGTGGCCTGCTCCTTTGTCCAGGTACGTATGCTGTTAGCAGGGGACGCGCGGGATGCTTGCCTGCCAGAGAGCTGAATATGAGTTTCTGTGAGGTGTGTTCACCTCTCGAGGGGAAGAGAGGACTTCTCTGTCTGAATCATTCACTGGTCCTCTCCCCTGTCCTCAGCAGTGCTGTACTTCCTCAGGTCTCTTCTTTATCCATCCCTTAGGTGGGCGGTGTCTACTCATACGATTGCAGCTTTGGCCACGTTCCCAATGTGGAACTGATGAAATTCATTGCCATGGCCACTTTTGGTGCTTACCTCTCCACATGCCCTGAACTGGATCCCCTGAGCCTGGATCTGAATGTATATCACAAGGCTTTTCTGCTGTACTCCTTTCTGCGTACTGGGGAGTCCCTGAATCCAGAATACTACTGTGGTGAGGAGTGTTCATGTCCTTCCAGCAGATGAATGTCTTGCAGCACCAGTCATTGGGGTGACTCCCCAAGCTTGGTTATGTTGATACTTCCCTTGGCCCATCTGGGCTATTGTGAGTATTGTGGGGACAAATAAAAGTCAGTGCTTTGTGTGATTTGGCAAGAGTGCTGCTTTCTCATACAAGCAGTGTTGCCTGCTTGTGCCTGTGTGAGACAGAGGGCTCTGAGGATGCTTGTTATTTTGGCCCTTATCAAACTCTGCCTCCTGTAGGGTCTGGGCACTATTGGGCCATGCAGATGAATCTGTGACTGCCCTCCTTGTTCTAGGAATTAGGTGGACTGGGGATAACTAATGTCCCATTTTGCACCATCCTCCTTTCTTTGGACTTTGTTCAGTAAACTGGGAACTTGGAGTGGGTGAGAAACCCTCTTCCAGGTTTTTCTCCACACTGACTAGCTCACAGATGGAGACATCCTGGCAGGCTTGTCCTCATCAGCCTTGCAGATGGCAGTTTGGCTTGAAAAATGGGGCCCCTGAGTACCACCCCAAATGTCTCTCTTTTTCTTACACTGTATATGTTAGTGCCTGAAAGTATGCCAAGAGAGATTAGTTACTAATCAAACACTGAAGCACCCATTCATGCCTGACTGTGATGCTGGTGCCATCTGTGCTGTCTGTAACTTGCCAGCAGAAACTGCTTACTGTGAAAAGTTTGAAGAGAGCTGGCCTGGGACTTTGAAATGTTGACTCTTGAAAAGAACAGATGTGAGTGGTTTAAACTTAAGGCATCCACAGATACCTTTTAGAAAGTACCTGAAAGCTCAAGGTCTTCCAGGGAAAAGTTTCCTGAGTAACTATTGCAACAGCAGTGCAGTTCCTGTCTGTCCAGGCTAAACATGCTGCTCTGTTGCGTGCCTTGTTACAAAGTCTGTCCCAAAGGAGTCTGAGCTGCACTCCACCCTGCCTCTCTCCCAGACCTCTTGGCCATGCTGTGTTGCAGAACCTGGAGTGGGCGTAAATGGTGCCTGAAGAAGTACTGTTCTTCAGGCTTGTGGGTATTTCAAGCAGTTTCTGTACAGCCCTTTGGGAGAGCTTTAGGATAAAGAGCAGGGGAACTGATTGCTCAAAACCCTGTGTCTGTTTTTTGCAGTATCACAGCACAGACTGTTCAATGAGCACCTGGTGTCTGCGAGCAGCAACCCTGCTCTGGCGATGCGGAGGAAGAAGCACACTGAGAAGGAGGTGCATGCTGACCTCGTGAGCGTTGTCTCAGTCCGCCTGCGTGAGGGCTACAGCATCCGTGAGGTCAACATCACAAAAGGTGACAAAGATTTAAACCCTCTAAACTACAGTTTTCTAGGGAGGGAAACGGCTGGAACCGAAGATGTTTGGTGGAAATGCCGGATAAGTCAGAACTGTGATCTGTAATACCAGAAGAGCTCAAAAGCACCCAGTGGTCCTGTTTTCTCATCTAGTCTGCTAGATGGCACCTTGAGAATTAGCCATTGACTAGGGGACTGCAAGGGGCTTGAGAGTATCCTAAGTATGCCAGTAAACTCTACCTAACTTTCCATCTCTGGCTGTGGCTAGTGCCTTAACTGAAGGGGAGATAAGAAAAATCTAAATATAAGTTACGAATTGCAAGCAAGGGAAGAAAATATTTTTGACCTTCACAATGACCTCAGAAGCTGTGAAGAATGGGGTTATTAAACACGGTGTAAATATGCATAGCATGGGGTGATCCAATGTCTTCATTGTCCTCTTTATATCAGAAAACCAAAGTCTGTGACACAATTTGAAAATTCCAAACATACCATGCTATATTTTCTGTGACTTTGTTGTGGTCTGTCTTAAGATCATGCAAGTTGATTCCATGCTGTGCTTGGAAGACTGTCCTAGAGCTTAACAGTTCTTTCTCAAGCTTTCTTTCTAAACTTCCTCAGACCAAATTAGAGCTGTGTGATTTTATTATCCTTAATTAAGTTTATCCTCCTCCAGCATTGTATTTATTTATAAATAATGCCTTTCTCCTTATAACCGTCCTTTTGGCAGGTTAAGTAGACCAGTGTTCTGGCTCTTTTTGCAAGGGCAGGCTTTCTACTCAGTTTATTTATCTTAACAGCAATTTTTTTTTCCAGTTTGCTATTTCTTTGAAACAGTTGATAAGAGCATTGTAAATGTGGTTTTTGTCAGTGCGTTGTTCAGTAGTGCTAATACTTCTCTGCTTCTGAAGTAAAGTACCCAATCTGATAGGGAATCACGTGGAGGCATTAAGTTGTTAGCTTAGAAATGCCTGTGCCTTTTATGCACCTTTGCTTTCAGTTGTTGAGTTTTACATTTTATGGCTGTTGTTTTTGTTTGCTTGCTTTTCAGTAGTCCTTAAATGCTCTTCAGACAATAGTAGTTTTAAATTAATCTCTATTAATTTCTATTAATCTAATCTCTATTAGTCTATTGCTCCAGGCAAAGCAGTCGGTTCTCTATGTGATGACTGGAAATTACAATTCTTCTGGCTTGTTTTTGTTTTGTTTTGTTTTGTTTTTTTAACAAGCAGAATGAATCTAAACCAGTTCTGGGGGATGTTGGTTTGGTTGTTGTTTGTTTGTTTTGGTGAAGATTACTGGCAATTAGATTACACAAGGTAATTTCTGCAGTTGGTCTTCAGGGAATACTCCAATTTCTTGCTTGGGGAGTTTTCTATTAATATTAAGATTCTACTGAGGTCTCTTGCTCAGACAGCTCTTCTGGTAGCATCTGCAGACTGTATTCACTAATCTGCCAGGTGTGGCAGGAGGTGCTTTCAGTAAGGCCAGATAGATTAAGTCCATTGTGCTCTCCTTTTCTGAGGTTGTCCGTGAAATATCTGACAAGTCAATTCCTGTCCAAGCTGTGCTCACTGTTATGTCTGTTGTAATTTATGAACCACTTCACTTAAAGTTTGGAGGACGCTGGAGAAACAACCTTCCTGTTATCTGGCAACAGTGGTGAAGTGCTCTTGATGATGGTGAAGTTCTGTAGAGAAGTGCTGGAAGAGGCAGCAAGTGTGAATAGTTCAGAAAGCAGTCAGCCAAATTCATGTTGGACCTTTCTGCGCAAGGATGAGCTACAACCTCTGGCTCAGGTTACTGTAAAGGAGCAAGTTTCTGGGTTCTGGAAACGTGTTAGAAGTATCAGCGCGTGGTTAGCATGCTTCATGCACTTTTCCTTAGGTATCTGCCTGCCTTCTGTTAGCTGCTGGATGTGAGTTGGCTGGTTGTCTTTAGAAGAGCAGAGGAGCAGCTGTACTGAGTTGTTGTTTCCTACAGAATTGAATAGTTAAGGGCAGGTGCCTGGGGAGGAATAAAAGCGGGGTAAGCATCCTTAACGTCCCTTTTCTCCTTTCTTTTGTCTTCCCTTTGAGTGCTTGGAATCTGTTCGCAGCTCAAGGGCTTCCTCAGCCAAAAATAGTTTGTGTGTTTCCACAATGTTATTTTTGTTTTTGTTGTTTTTAGGAGGAAATCAAAATGAAATGTTTGAGCTATCAAAAACACAGTGTGTATTTCTGTGTCAGCCTTCAGTGTAGTAGCAGATAGTGTTACTTATAATTTGGAAATACTAAATGCACTGGGGATTGGCTGACTGTGATCAGAAAAATTATTGAACTAACAGCTTAAAGTAGACTTCGTAAAAGATCAAGATGTTCAGACATCCAGATCTGCCTCTGCAAAAGAAAAGCATGCTTGGCTTATCAGAGCTCTCTGGGCCTTTCTGCAGAGAAGTGTGTAACAAAGAACAGTTAATTAACCTGGATTGCCAAAAGCTTTTGCTAGTGCTTGCCAACTAGAAGCTGCTAAGGAGCCAACTGGCTGTGAAGCAAGAGGAAAGAGTGCAGTTGTGGACTTTGACACTGTCACTTTTCTGCTTCACTTTGCCAAAGGCAGAACAGAATAAATAGCTTTGTGCTCAGAGGTGCCTGGAGAGGTTGTTTGTGGTATTTATAAGTGCTCTGGTTACCCTCACTGTTTGATTTCAGATATTTAGGTGTTTAAAAAGTTGCTATAGTTAGTTGGGAATACAGAAACCCTTGTGAAAGGGGATGGACTGAGAGGCATGAAAGGCAGAGGAGCTCCGTCAGAAGGCTGTGGGGTGTGATGGAGCTCAGCTCCTCTCCTGTTTCTTTTTGGGACGGCGTCAGAGGATTGCTGTCTGTAACAACAAAAACAAGTGATTCACTGTCTGTGTGGTTTTGCTGTGTGCTCAGGACAGGAGTGCTTAGAGGACTTTTTTTGAAAATTTATCTTCTGTGAAACCAGTCCAAAAATGGCTGAGCACAGGCTGGCAGGGAGAAGGCAAGGTGAGTTGTTTAAAAACCAGAGCTGGACTTGATAGTGGAAATGCTAAGTCACAGCCTGAACCAGTGATAGAGCACCTGGTGTGAAGGCAGGGCCAACCCAGGAGATGCTGTGCACCTGAGTGTCTAGAAGGGGTCAAGCCAGGATTGACCCCTTCTCAGACCTCATTTTAGGGTTGTCACTGGAGGTGAGGGCATCTCTTCCTGGAGATCTCTGCCTACCTGAGGCCTTCCAAAGATGAGTAGCTTTTTTTCTACATTTCCGTATCAATGGCTGCTGCATTTGGGCTCATTCTCATTTGGTGTAGCCAAAGACTTTGCCACCCTGCTATTATTGTCCCTTCATAGCTTTGTAGACTTTATGAAGGAGATCAAAGCAAGAAACTCCTTTGTTAGCTATGAAGTCAAGAACCAGGAATAGATTGCTTAGTAATAAGAACAGGTTAAAGATTCATTGGTGTATGACTTCAAACTAAGCAAGCGTTTTGCCTGTGTTTTCAGCTTTGCTTGTGTTGGATGATATGAACGAAGCCAAGGTGACTAATGGAAACACAGCTGGAAGTAGGAAATATTTTTCATTAATGACCTAGGCAAAAAAAAAACACGTAGGAATTTACTTATCATGTTTGCTGTTGATGAAGTAGGAAGGCTTTGTTATGAGAACCAAAATGTTGTGCAGAAAGCAATGGATGATGACTACAGCAATAGGAATGAGAGGCAGTTTGGCAGTGTGAAATGGAAGGACACCCATTTATCAATTCTTCTTTAGTCTATTTGACAAGCTAAGCAATCTTCATGTGGAAACAACACTTGGTAGAACCCTGGCAAATGCAAAGAACTTGTTGTGAAAAATATGAGGCCCTGCAAAGGTCGCAGTGGAATACAGATGGAATATACTAAGCATCCTTGATTATAATTTTTTTTTTTTTCCCAAGAAGATGACTCCTTGCAGCACAGAAAGGTCTGAGGCTGTTAAGAGGAATGGATAGCCTGTTACAGGCCGATGACTATGGTTTGATTTAACCTTCACAGTCAAAGCTGAAACCAGATAAAGATTTTTCTCCGTAGTGCACACTCCCTATTGATTTTCCTGGAAATTAAGCTTCTGAGAATAAAATTCATTTCAGAAAAAGAACAGCTAAGCATGAACTGGGCATGTACTCCTGAAATTTTCTTCTGGAAGGTGATGGGTGGCAGATTCTCTAAGGTAGCCTCCAAGTGAGGTTGTAGGGGCAAAAAGTGAGACTGCTTTACAATGGAGTGTAATCAGCCTCTGAAAGGGGTGGCCTAATGTACAAATGGCAGTAACAAACAGAGCTCTGCAGGAAGCATAGGATCCAGACTGATGACTTTGTGTGCTTTCCAGCAGATCTAGTCACCTGTCTCACAAATGCTGCAAGTCTGGCAAACTGTAGTACAAGCTGGACATCAAACAAGTGGTTGAGCAGTTGAAACAGCAGTGTGGTGCTGTTAGAGAAAGTGATGTGTTTCACTGAGCTGTTTTGGTACAAATAAATATGCATGGTCAGCAGTGCATTGATAGTTTTCTGCTCCTCTTGTTCAGTGAGGCTTGCTGTCAGGTGTTTGAATTACTTGTGCTCGAGATGCAATGGCCAGCCCATAGAGAGAAAACTGCAGTTTGAAGAGCCAGTGAATATTCAGTCTTAGCTTCTTAGTTTTGAGCGGAGCTGAGTGGAAGGGATTAAACATGGTGAGAAAGTTTTGATGCTTGATGTTCTAGATTGTATGAAGTAGTCTCTGTGCAGGAAGAACATACAGTTTAGTTCAGGAATTCGGCCTCACCTTCCAGGTTCTTCTTGATCAAGCTCTATTGCATCCAACAAAATGTCCATGTTTCTATAGTGGGATAGATTAACTCTGCAAACAGCTCACAAGAAAACTTTGTTGCTTTAAGTCCTTGCTCATCTGTGCAAAGCAGAAAGTCCTGGAAGCAAAGCTGAGGCTGCAAAGACGGTAACCCGTTGCAAGTGTCAGCACCTTCCCCAAGTTTCAGTTGCTTTCTCTAATTTGGATTGTATGTTTACATTTAAAGGACTGTTCACCAAGTGCTCAGTGCTAGCAAAGCTTCCCTCTGTTGGAGGGAAGGGAGAATAGCTTTAGCTGGAGTTGGACACTGATCCTTGTGGATCCCTTCCAACTCAAGATATTCTCTGTTCTGTGATTAGAGCAGGCAGGCAGTTAGATTGCTTTGTCTTCCTCATAGCGATCAAACAATCTCAGTGTAACTGGGAGTCCCTGGCTAGAGATATAGCTCAGATATTTGCAGAATACTTGAGATGATTACTTTGCTCTCATGCAGGTGGATCTCAGCTGGAGGTGAAACTGGTGCTGCTTTGGAAGCATAACATGAGGATAGAGTATTTAGCTGTGACACCTTGGCCTCTGGACCCATCAAAGCGCAGCACGTGGGTGGAGGTGACGATGGAGGGGAGCTATGACATCTTGCATGACATCAGTTGCACCATGAGGAAACCCATCACCAGTCTGTACCGCACAACAGTTATCCGGCGCTTCTGGAACACCTTGCAAAGGTGAGCTGGTCCTTCCCCAACAGTTCTGAGTCCAATGTAGCTAAGAAGTCACTTCCTTCATGTACTGGGGTGTGGGTTATGCAGGCAGCCTTCCCAGCTCAGGATCTGAAAAGAATGTGCTTGCAAGGAAAAGGTACATCTGACAATGAACTTGCCTTCTGGCCAAGCAAATGACTCAAACTAGTCTGTGACCTAGTCTGTGAGATTGCCTCATGATTAAGGTATTGATTGCTTCCTGTGAGTCCCAGTCCTCAGCTTTCAGACTGCCATCCCATGGAGGTGATGTGTTCCTGCAGCACTGCCTTGCTGTGAAGGCTAGTAGTACAGCAGGCTCCTATGCAGTATCTGCTGCACAGCCGTGCTAAGAAAGCACCTCATGTCTCCGAGCCTTCAGGGGTTTGTGGGTTATAATTGTTCCCTACCCAGGATGACTGTTGCTCACCACTACTCTGCAGATTCTTTTCCATACCCTTCTTTCCCAACTTTGTTCATGTGTCTTTGCATTAGACTGTTACACTTGAATTCCCTGTCGTTCTCTTTGCAGACAGGCGTTGAATCCCAGTCTGACCGTAGGAAGCTGTGCTGATGCACGTGGGCTCCCAAAAACCCAGGGAGTGCTGTGTGTGCAGGCATGGAGTGACTGGGGCATTGAAGGGGAAAACATGGGCTGGTGTTTAACCACCTCTTCTCTTCCAGCATCAACCAGACAGATCAGATGTTGGTTCATCTGCAGTCTTTTGACACAGTACCGGAGCACTTCACCATTCCTGAGAGCACCAAGAATGGAGTGCCCCTCTTCTATATCCCGCCAGGCTCAACCACTCCGGTATGACCCCTCTCTGTCCTACTTAGCATGGGACAGGTGTCCTTCCTGCCTGTTCTGTATTGCACCAGGCAAAGCTGAGTCCTAATAAACAAGCAAGACTTTCTGTAGCTCTCAGTCTTCATCTTTTCTCTTTGTCCTGGTCAGTAGCAGAGTTTGTGTGCAGTGCAGTCCCATCCCATGCTTCTTCCCTGTGAGAAGAAGCCTTGCAGAAAATCTCCTACGCATGCTGCAAAGCCTTCTCTTGTAATGATGTGAGTTTGAGACTGATGGGGAGGCTAACGTTCTTCTGTTGCAATTTTTCAGTGGAAACCTCATATATGAGTTGCTGATTGCAGCCTTGTGCCCTGGTATTGTGGCTCAGCACCATCAGGGGAAGATAGGATCTGCTAAATGGCTTTTATTTAACAGGCTCATTGCTCTGAGCACTCATGTGAAAGAGGCATATTTGTCATCTACACAGCAGAAACTAAACAGAAGATGAGCTAACAGTTTCCACTGTGAAATTCAAACCCACTGAAGCTCACAGTGCAGGATTGCTGACACACTGCCTTCTTCTTGTTACCAGTGTCCTTGGCTTTGGCAGAAGATGATGACTAGCAGAGAATTAATTTAAATTTAAAATTTTGTTGCTTAAGCCCTTTACTCCTTTTGGTTTACACAGTACATCATTCTATGTATGAACATACATCCCACAGCATATTTGGAGTGTTCCATCTTGTGGCTAACTGCTGCTTTATTTCAGTGCCAGCAGTGTTGGTATAGTTGGTTGAATCACAGTGTTACCACATAAACATGCCAGAGTTGCCCAATGCTGATACTTTGTTTACTGGTATCCTATTTGCATGTGCATTCTCACTTGGATTATCTTGGTGTTTAATTGCTCTGCTGACACAGGCCAAATATTCTCCTCTCAAGCAGAGAAGATGCCATTACATGCTATCTTTTCTGTAGTTAAATTACTTGATGCTATGTAGTTAAATTCCCAGTTAACTTGACATTTCAGCAACCGATTTATTTTTGCTTGCATTGTTGTTTGCTTGTTTCAGTGTGAACACAGTTATGCTGGGAGGCAGTTACTGAAAGCTAGGCATGTGCGTGGCCTTCTAGGTGTAAACAGCTCAGCCACTAGAGAAATTCCTGTGCTCTCTGGGTAGAAGCACACAATTTCTTGCCGAGCATAGCCTTCTTACCAGTCCATCTTGTCATTTTCTCAGGTGCTATCCCTGCAGCACAGTGGATCTGACTCGAGCCATTCCCAGTTTGCCTCCTACTGGAAGCCTATCCTTTCCATGGATGCCAACTTCTGGCAGAGGTGGCTGCACATGCATCGTATTGTTCTCCTTCTGGAGCATGACACGTATGTAACTGGCAGGGCTGAAATTGGGTGCACTCTGTAGTCCAGCCAGCGGAAATACAGCGTCAGTTTTTCCAGACACTGCAGAAGCTGCATTTCAGTTCAGTCGAGCTGCAGCTGTGTTGCAGGCCCCTATGGCCGTGGGGAGGACTCTGCTAGCTGGAGTTGATGGATGGCCAAGGGCAGAGGGACTGCGGTGGGGAAGTCAGCTTTTGTTAAGAGGGAGGTTGTTCTCAGGAGCACAAGTTATTTCTCAAGTCCTCCTTGAATTTGGATTTCCTGAGTGCAGCAGATGTGGACTATCCATTTGAAGCTGTCTTACAGGCTTTTGTTTGCTGCTGGAAAACACTTGCCCCAAAAGCACAGATTTCCTAAGGGTGGCTCTAGTAGCAGAGTTACAGGAACAATAGCTTTATATTGCATGAAGTGCATTAGTGATAATACAGGTGTGCTCTCTGCGAGCTTTAGAAGGGGGTCCCTGTGGCTCAGGGTGTGTGGCTCTAACTGACAGGCATGGACATGGGGCATATTTGGATATGAGCAGCTGTGCGGGAGGAAGGCTGATGTGCTGGTTGGAGGATGAGTTGGAATGGATGTAGCTAAGGGTCACAAAGCATTGGGGAGGAGATGAGCAACTGTGGTTTTAAAATGTCTGTCTGCCACATTCTGCAGGCCTGTGCCCAAGCACCTGCACACACCAGGCAACAACGGTCGCTACAGCACCATCCAGTGCCGCATCTCTCATTCTGCTCTCACCTCCCTGCTGCGGGACTGGAGCAGCTTTGTGCTGGTGGAGGGCTACTCTTACGTCAAGCTGATGCATAGGTGAGTGTCTGTGAGGTGATTCCGTGAGGAAAAGTGGGCACATGGCCAGGCCAGAGATCCTGTTAGACCAGTATGCTGCGGTGGGCTGGGAGCAGATGTCTTCGGGAGAGGATAAGAGCGTATAAGCAGATATGAAACCTTGTGTATTCTGAATTGCTTCCACTGTGTTCAAGGCACGGACCAGAGGGAGAGGGAAGGTAGCTGGAGGCTGAGGGTGGTTCTGCGTGCTGGGACTTAGATGTGTTGCTGCCATCTTATGTGAGCTGTTGAGCACTGGGGAACAGGCCTACGCTTGGTCTGACATGACAGAACAACACCTGTGTTATTTCAGCCCTGTCTTAATCTGTCCTCCCTAGCTCTGAGGATCCTACTCCCTCCTCATTTTATGTGGTGCGGATCATCTCCAAAGCTCCCTGCATGGTTCTTCGCCTGGGCTTCCCCATTGGCACACCTGCACAGGCCAGGAACAAGGTGAGAGCTGGCTGCTTCCAGGGGTAGAACCAAGCAAATAGTTCTGGATGTGGAAGTGGTGGATAGATCACAGGCAACACTGTAGGCAAGTATCCTCTACTACCTATTATATTAAAGCTTAGATTGATGTGAGTTTACTGTAACAGAAAGGGACATTTTAGACAAAGCTTTTTGTGAATGAAAGCTTGTCTATGAGAGATCTAAACCCAAAAACATGAATATCAATAGAATAGCTAGTCACATGAATGCTCTTCTGAATGCATGATAGAACTGTGGGCCTTGAAATGACTCAAAGATTATCTGGATTGTCCTTGTGACCAAAACCCAATCAATACAGTCTGTCAAGAACAGCAGATATTTGTCTGACTCATCTGTAAAGACCTCTGAGATGGATGTACTATGTGTTCCCTAGGCTATCTGCTTCAGTAGGTGGTGAGTTGCGTATGTATGTTGTATAATGGGACAAGGAGGGGTTAGAGATGAAATGCGAACAGCTCCCTGTGTGACCAGTGAGGAAAAAATAAAACACACCAAAAATACTTCAGAGACATGCTAGTATTTTATATGTGTGTGTATATATATATTTAATAACTCATTTGTTATTAGAACAAGTAAGGGGGCTGCCCCAGTCAGATTCAGAAGGTGAGGTCACTGTGCAAACTGTTTCTCCAGCTTTAATGGCAGAGACAAGTCTAAGTGTTCCTAGGTAGAGCAGTAAGTATGAGAAACGTGCCATTAATCTGTGTGAAGACTTGGTTATAAACAAGAGGTCTATCATTAAATTTTGATCTTTCATCTTCATGGAAAGTTTTGGTTTGTCTGATTGAGCTTCTCCTCTGATTGATCTCACTCTAAAGCTGACATACCAGTAGGGCCATCTCTTTCTGAGATGGCTGTCCTAGATAACACAGTGCTCTGGTGCTCAAACACCTTTGTGTCATTAGGAGGAGATCCAAGCTTTGGGCTTTGATTGTAAGTGACAGGTTTCACAAAGGAGTTCCCCCTGGCAAGCATGAGCTAACACCTGCCTTGTGAAGAAGGTGTGGGACAGGCATGGCACCAAACCCTGCAGCTCTGGGCAAGCTCCAGATCATTGCAGCAGGAGCTGCAAATAATAAATGGTATAATGCCCAATTTTTTTTTTCTTGTCTACCAGGGGGCTGACTAGCTTCTCAGCTGGAGGATGGCAGAAGAATGTAGCCCACCTTGTTTAAGGGGGAAGGTCCCTTCTAACCTCAACCATTCTGTAATTCTGAAGTATGTAAGGGTAGAACAATATTCAGAGCTGCTAAAAACAAGCTAAAAAAGAAAAGTAATCAGGAAGTCATCTTGAAAGTATATTGGAAAAAACAATCTAACCTAAAAAGTAGCTTTAACTCTTGAAACCTTTTACAATAGAAGTTTGACACATGAAGATGATGGAGGTGGAGTCCGTAAGCTGTGGGAGCAGTCTATCCAATCTTATGTGTAGTAGTTAACATTACAGGCTGTGGAAGGGAGGAGAAATGAATGTGGGTACTTAAACTGTTTTTGTGGAGAAGCAGGCATGCAGTTAACTTGTTTAGAGATAAGGAAAGTGATTTCTCCAGCCTTGAAACCATCCTTAGGTTGTTTTGACCTTTCTCATGCTTTTAAAAATATTTGGTGTAGTTGTTAAATTGTGGACCTAAGAGCCTTGGTCCTCCTTATCTGTATATTCGAAGTTGCTCTGGGAGCTTCTTGAACAGACTGTCTCCAGACATAGGTGATCATGTTTACCTCTTGCTTTTGCCATGACAGATTGTGGAGGAGTTACGGGACCGAATCCTGCAGTTGCGCTTTCCTCACAGGGTCCAGAGCAAGGAGGCAACTCCAAAAGCAAAGAGGAAAATGTTGGGCAGTAGTTCTCCCTCCAAATCTCCACCTGTGGCTGGGGTCCAGTCAGCCTTCTCAGACAGACCCTGCCTTGTCGTGCTGCACAAACCATTGGAGAAACTGCTCATCAGGTAGTGATGGGAACCCAAGCTGGCAGTGTGATTGCATTTCCTGGGAGGGGGAAGGGTTTGTGGGTGGTTCTGTCTGTGGCAGAGTGAGAAACTATGATGCTTGTGCTTGGTTGGGATGGTTTGAGCTACAGGGCTAAGAATGGTGGATGTAGTCTGGACTTACCAAATATGATGCAAATTAAGTTGAGTTACCACTGTCTGAGGGAATTCTGTGCTGAACTAGACGTGTTCTGCTTCTGGAAAGCTCTGTCCCAGGCCCAGCGAGCATGCTGTGAAGCCAGGCAGTTCTGGTCCTGAGCAGAGCATCTTTTCCATCTCAGCAAGCCACACTTGTACCTTCTAGGTATGAGAAGCTGCCTTCTGACTATCGAGCTCCCTTCATTCTCAACCTGGAACATCCTCCAGTGTCTGGCCCGCTCACCATGGTGGCCAATCGTACTGCCTCATCCACCCTGGCCTCACTGTCCCGCTACTTTTATCACCAACGTTGGATATGGAGCGTCCAGTCAGGGCTGGCACCAGCTGTGCCCATCACAGCAGTAGCCCAGCTCCTTTCCACACTCACAGAGTAAGTTGTACGCCTGGATGGAGATGCTTTGTCTGGTTAGTTCTAGGGATGCAGATCTGAGGCACAGAGTTTTACTCATGGCTTCCAGAGTTATTTATGCCAGTGCTTCACCCAGTTCTTCAGCTGCAGTTGAGGAAAAGGAGTGTCCTGGAACACATACAAAAGGGCAAGTGATGTTTTTATGCCTGGAGTGTGTAGATCTTCACTCAGGCTGTTCTGTGCAAGGTGCACCTCCCTCCATTCTCTGCATGCAATTCCGTGCCTTGGTAAGAGATATAACGGAGTGAGGGGTTCAGTTAATTCTTGTATTTAAGCCTTGCAGTACAGATAGAGAAATGCTCTGTGTCTACTACCTCTCTGTTGCCAGGGTTCGTCTGTCAGAGGGTTTCCACTTTGCATCCAGTGGGGATGGAATTATCAATATGGTCCTGGAGTTGCCCATACAGGTGAGCCTGGAGGCCACACTGAGGAAACAATCCTTTGTTGCTTCTTCCAAGGTAGATTCACCTTCCTGTGGCGGGTAGGTGGGTGTGATTATTTTCCCACCCACTTGTAGTGTGTAACCTTGTGGCAAGTCTCCCTATACACAGCCTCCTCTGAAGTAAACCAGTGTGCATGTTGGGTCCTGCTTTTTTATCTCCAATTAGAGACCTGCTTTGCTGGCAGGAACAGGTTATTCTGGCGGAATTCTGGGGCTGATGCAGGTTCCCTCTCTCTACCACCACAAGCAGAGCTGGTGGATGGGGCTGTGCTGTGTGATGGGCACTGGGTAGGTGTGTGCTCTTGCTGCTGGCCAGACTCATGCTGTGTCTCCCCTCCAGATTGATGGCTCAAGTGGCAGCAGCAGCAGGGAGAAGCACACCTGTGTTGTCCAGTACATCCTCTTCCCCCCACACTCTACCTCCACCAAGGACAGGTGAGGCCATGGCCCTGCTCCTGGGGAGGGCTGGCAGCAGTGGGGGATGTGACTTCAGTTTCAACCTTTGTGGGTAGTGTGGAGAGCAAAAAGGCCATCCTATAATCTAGCTAAACACCCAGCTGCCACAGATAGCTCACCAGTTAGGTGGGGCTTTGCCTGCAAGCCTGCAATTTGTGTGACTGTTCTCATAGCTCAGAGAGGACCTGCAGAAGGTTTTTGGCTCTGTTCCATCTCATAGAACTTACTTTGTCTTCCAGCTTCTCCACAGATGATGACAATGATACAGAGGTGGAGGCCATTGAAGTGGACACAGAACTGAATCTGGTCACTGAGTGCTGGGTAGAGCCACAGAGTGGCCATGTTCACAGTACTGCTGAGAACTGGAAGCACCTCCATGGCTTGCCCTACCAGAAAATACCTAAAGCGGTAAGTCCCTAAAAAGGTGAGGGCATGGGCCCTTTTTTAGAGGGAGACGAGTTTGTTGCAAGTGTACCACAGTACTATGGGATGAGTTAACTAGGAGCCAGAAGAAGTGAGAATGCTAGTAACAGGAAGCTGAGATTTCCAAAAGAGGAACTGGGCTGCTGAACAGAAGCAGCTCCTAGATTGCAAGGCAGTGCATGCAGTGTTGCTCTGGGATATGTGGAAGAATACGTTTTATTTTGTTAAGAGCTGTTCCATTAAAGGGGAGTGAGCTAGGCCAGAGCAGGCTTGCAGCATTGCCATTGCACCACCTGAACAAGGCAAAAAGAGATTAGCACAGGACTGGAGAAGGAGAGAGCAATGAGTAAGAGTGAAAGAGATGGGACTGTGGTTGTTTCTTCTTTTCAACTTGAAACTGTTTTCTGCTGCATGAGGGACTAGCAATATTGCTGTGCACAACTGAGCTTTGATTGCTTATTACAGCTCTACCCACGGGACCTTACATGCATTGCCACCATGCTGACGTTTGAATACATCAGCCAACTGTGCCAGAACAAGGAGTGGGTCTGTCCTCCTTCAGACACCAAAGCTACTGAAGGTGAGCCCATTTATGTCCTGGCAGGTTTGAGGAAGCAAAAGGAGGTAGCTAGGCACCTAGTTTATTGAGCAGTGTTAGAGACTTCTAGAAGGTTGAGCAGGTATTTTTGACAATGACTTTCTAGACTTTGGTGGCTCTCACTTTGTTGCACTTGTTCAAAGCTGTAAGGGAGATGGCTTCACTCTGGGAAGGCCAAGAAAGGCACTGAGATTTTCTGTCTGGACTGGGGAGGCTTGGACAGGGAACTCAGAAGGTCTGGTTTGTCTTCTTCCTTTCGGGTAGGGTTGTGCCTTTCTAATCTGACACAGTTCACTGAGAACTCCAGCAATGTGGGAGGGAGTAAACCCTTGCCAGACAATAAGTTTTTGCTTTAAAGCTTTTCTCAAATGTCCAGGCTGAACATTGCTACTACCTAAGCTTCTTGTCAGGAGTTCATCCTTGATCTTTTATTTGCTTGCCTTACAGTGAATAACATAGCCAGTGTTGTGTGAGTTTCAGGGAGCAAGGATGAGCCCAAATGCTGGATCATTTCACTTGTCCAGTGGGAGCAGGAGAGGGCCAGGAAAGCTCAGGGCATGGAGGACAGACTCTTTCCTGAGGAAGAGAACAGGAAGTGTGTGAAAGGATGTGGGGAGCCTGCCGGATGGGAGATCTCTCCAAAAACGAAGGGTGTCCTTGCTCCTGACAGCTCTGCTAAAATAGGCTGCCTCTGGCTCCCAGCATGGCTACTGACCTCCAGCAGTATTTCCTGTGACTTTGATGTGCAGCTCTTGTCCCCTGGCAGCTGTGGGCCTAGTTGTGCTGCAATCAGCTGGGCTGTGTAGAGTCTTATGGGTTCCGCTCTATCCTTGAATGAAAGTGGCAGGGGACTCCATCAGCAAGGTACCTCTCTGTAGGTAGCTCACAACCTGTTGCAGTCTCCAGCAGTCTTTGATCTTCATTTCAGTCTTCCTTTGTATCCCCCTGCTCTCATAAGTAGAAGGAGATGGGGCATTGTTGCTGTGCCCTGTCACTTGTGCTCGTATGTTTCATTTAGGGCTGGTGCCATATATGTCCAGGAGATCTGGGGAAAGGGCTGTGTGATGCCATCTGGGATATCGTATTCCCAATTCTTGCAGATCCAGACATGGGGGCTGGTTTCAGAGTGCATGAGATCCCATTCCAGTTCAACCTCATGAAGCTGTTGCCCAGGTGTCAGCAGGTTGAAATGTTCTTCCTAATGCTAACAAAAGGTGAGTGTCTCTTCACTGCCTGCATCCTCTGGTCCTCCTTTGGTATCTCCGTACTCCCTGCTATGTGTGCTTGTCTCCCTGGGACACAGGTGTGGGGGAGCTGCCTTGTCTCTTTGAGTAGCTAAGTGCTGTTCCCAGCTCTGCAGCCCCAGGGCTGTGCAGATGTATTGCATTCTTGTGATGATAGTTTTGGAAGAGTTGCTTTCTAAGTCTCAAATCTAGATAGTTGCTTTGCATGGTGAATTCTTGTCTTTATCCCTGACATCTGTAGACCAGTTACAGTAGTATGGAGAGTCAGTGCATGGTAGCTTGTGTTGCTGGAGTTGCATCTCGGCATTCTGCAGGTCAGGCTTTTGGAGGTGACAGGGAGAACTTCTGGCTGGGTAGAAATGTTGCTTTCTTCTGGGAGCCTGGCAGGTGGTAGCTCTGGAGATGCTGTCTCTGAAGCTGCTGTGGTTCTGTTTTGGAGCAGAGAATGAGGAAGTGACCAAGGACTCTTCGTTTGTGCCCAATGAAATGCTACTAAACCTCTTCCATGGCTGCCTGCAGCATGACCTCAGTGATCGGGAGATCCCCATGGCTGATGCTGATCATGTGGCCTTCATGGAGCAGGTTCTCCAACGGGATCGTGATGGTCATCAACCACCCTTCACTCTCCCTGTGATCCGAGGTAAGGTCCAGGAATGCTGCAGCAGGGATGCTGGCAGCTGGATTATCTCAGGGGTCCTCGCTTTTAAGCGTTTTCCTCAGCTGGTGTTCCTCAGGTTGGTTTCTCTGCTCCATTCCAGAAGAAACCTCAAAAACTTCTGGGACCCTGGAGCAGCAGGACACTTCTGCATCCTATCATCATGCTGGCAGTAATGGCACCAGGGATATGACTGGCTCCACAAGTACTCTGCAGGTACTGCTGAACTGCTGGCCCTCTCTTGAGCCCTCACCGGGGATAAGCTAGCAGCTGCTGAAGGGCAGGAGAGTGCAGAAGAGCTGAGAACAGACTGAAAGGGTGGTGTTTTTCCACAGTTGGCAGCATTTTAAGCTGTAGCCTGTGACTGAGGTTGGACAGGAATCCAGCAATGTGTGGGCAGTTGCACACACTATGGGACTTAGCTTGTTAGAGCAGCATGGATGCTGTGCTGCAAAGAGCTCAGAAATCATGGGCAATCATTGCCTGGAGGCCAGAAGCAGCCCCAGCAAAGCTGACTAAACATCTCCTGTATTTCCTGGAGCCAGGCTGCTCTGAGAATGTTGTGTGGATTTGCCAGGGTTATTTCAGTGCCAGCTAGTAGTCATGGAGGAACTTGCTCTGTATGGTTGCTGCTTGCCCTGGGGTAGGCCGTGCCATGTGCTGTAAACTTAGCAAGCTTCTGCTCTTTCCTCAGAGCCTCGGCAACACAGAGCTTCCTGAGGATGATGTGACCTTGAGTGACACTACAGGGCCTTTTTCCCCACAGTGGCGATGCTATGCAAAGCTGGTCAATCCACAGCATGTATTCCTGACCTTCCTGCCAGCCACGTTCTCAGGTGAGGGTCTCTTTTGTGGAGAGGAAAAGGAGGCAGCAGTTCTAACCACCTCCTCAAGAGAACAGGAACAACAGTATCAGCTCTTCTAGGATGGAGGGGAGATTAAATAGCAGAATCTAGACTCATTCTTCTTTCTCCATAAGGCCAGGAATAGAGCGGTGCAAAGCGATAAATGTCTTGCTGTTTTCTCCTTGGACAGTCTGCTGCTCACATTGTTTTCAGGACAGAATTCTGGCTATGACTCATTTGCTAGCTGTAGCTATTGGAATATGCCAGCAGAGAAGATTGTTAACAAATGAAGTGAGAAGGCTGATATGGGATGCTTTAGGGGAATCCCTACTTCTGGCATTGGGACTGGTCTGTCTTCCACTGGTCTGTCAACTTCCACTGGTGGAAGTTGCTAGGCTCAGCTTTGGTGCTGTTCCCACACACAAAGTGATAGCAGGAATTTCTGCCTTGGGAATGTAATATGGGTTACCTGTTGACACAAGACAGAAGGAGGATTTTGTTTGGTGTTCTTCCAGATGTACAGAAGCTGATGTCTTGCGGATTGGACAAACCTCCAAAAGATGAGAGTGAAGCTGGAGAGAGTACTCTGAGACCTGTCTGTGCAGAGCAGGACAGGACTGAGGCTGAAGAAGGGGATGCTGCAGTGCCATTACCTACCCTCAGCATAACACCAGTGCATGGTACTGCTCTCATGACAGCACCTGGCTAATGAATTAGGGGCAACACCTTTCCTTTCCTTGGCTTTTCTCAAGCACTCTTAATTCCTACGGTTAGGCAGATTGTAGTAACGTGTGTGTGCTGGGTGGGGAGAAGCCCGTAAAATCAGTTCCTGCCTGTGGATGCTGCAGCGAGGGCTGTGGTTTTCTCAGGCAAGGAATGAGGAATGCATTGAAAGCCTTTATCTTAGGATTCTTTCTGTTTCAGAAGTGAGCCGTGACCCTGCAGAACAGAGTGGTCCCTCGCGGAGAGATGTGCATATCTCCTTCTGCCGCCAGAACTCTCAGTCTGAGCCAGGCGAGTGTCGCCGATTTCGCTGCCCCATGTATATTTACAGCTGCTCTTTGGAGCTGCTACGAGAGCAGCTTGTCAGCCCACGGACACATCGTCCTCCCCGGGATGTCTTTTTCAGGTAATACCAGACATTCGTGGCTTCTAGGGAGGATGGAGGAGCATCCCTGACAAGAGGCTGGCTCCAACCGTGCCTCTTTCTCTTGGCTTTGCCTATCTACCTTACAACAACTACTTCCTGTGTGTGTCCTTTTCAGGTCCCAGTCTCTGGAACGTCCTCCTGCTGCTGCTTGGTTAGATCATAAGCATAAAGAGTTGGTGAGTTACTGCACACTGCTGCAGGAGCATTCCCACCAGTGCTATGTGAAAGGTGAGAAGCGGTGTGATGGGAGTTGGGACAGGTTTGGGGCTGGACTCTGGATCTTCTTTATGAAAACAGTGTCTTAATTTTCATGAAAGGTTACCTGAGGAAAAGGAAGGAGCTGTGGGACTTGGTCTCTAATGAGCAGGGTTTTAAAGATGCCTCACACAGCTTGTTCCTGGAGCTATGCAGTGCTGTGATGGGGGGGATCCTTCTTTTGAGCTTTGCTCTCATCTTTGGGGGGACAGATCCCTAAGTCTCTCAGGCGTGACCAAGCCCAGGCTAACATGTAGTATTAGACATCTTGACCGAGTCTTGTCTCCAGTACCTGTGTTGACTAAAGCTCTGTATAGGGACTTGGTGGAAGTCTGGTCTTTGTTCCCCAGGGTGTAACTATTGCCTGATTCCTGTAGCCTTGCGTCTTTGCACTGGGATGTTCAAATACTCTGTTTGATCTGTAGGGCTGTTCAAGAGCCTTCAGCAGTCACACAGCATCAGCTCTCAAGACCTTCTTACAGCCATGGACTACTGTGAGGAGCTGCTGCAAGAGATAGATATCACCAACTTCCTGCTGACAGTGTGCAGCCATGTCCGCTCCTTCCGAGAGAGCCACCAACATTTCCATACACACCCTAAGGCTGCCAGCTTCCAAGTAGGCAGCATAGAGCAAGAAGAGGAGCAGAGCTCTAGAGAACGTGGTGTCTTGGTCTCTGAATCAAGGTAGGGTCTTGACTTAAAATTGGTCTGAGACAGACTGTTCTTCAAGAATTTTCTATTATTTGCTAGGAAGGATGTTGTAGGGCAGGCTTTAAAAGCCACATGTAGAAATAGGTATTTCTATTGGGATACACACCTGGCATGGTGTCTACCAAACACTTCTGTTTTTTTTTTATAATCACTGGTGACATTTATCCTTTGACTGTCTCATGTAGTCTTAGCTCATAACTGTCCCATCTGGGCTGCAGAGCAGTTTATCTGCAGGTAACACTTAGATGTATTGTTTCCAGAGAAATTATGCATCTCCCACTGCCTGGCTCATCTGAGATTCTGGTGAAAAGGGCAGGTGACAGCACACTTTATCTCTTTCTGAAGAGTAGTGTCCTTTCTTCAATGAAAAGACTAGAAATAATATCACAAGAGAAAATGTTTCTGCAGAACTAGAGTATGCTTGATGATAAAACTCTGTTCTGCTAGGATGTTTCTGAGGCTTGTGTTGGTTTTGGAATATTAAGGAAAGGGAGAAGCACTTTAGTCTACCTTACTGTGCTGTCTGTTGAAGAAAGAAACGCCCTCTATAGATTATTATTATTTTTTTTTTTTTTTGTCCTCAGTTTGCTCTTGACTATGCTCAGTTCTTTGATATGAATGCACTACAATTTCTTGGGAATCCTCAATGTTATGATCTCTTATGCTGTAAATCAGCAGGATGAAGCTGCTTTTGAAGAATGTTGAGGTTTGGGAGGTCAGGCGACTTTTTCCTCAAGTGCAGCTTTCACACAGAAAAACTGTGGGAACTTTTCATTGTTTATAAGATACACAATCTGAGTTGGGATTGGTGGTTTACAATAAACATTTCTGAAGGATCTGCCATCTGTATTACTAATTCAGGCACCTGAGAGTACTTTGTCTGACCTTCATTCTACTCCTCAGATTGCATTCTCTAAATACTAGGCATTGATTCTGTTCCAAAGCTGCTGAGTGAGCATGGGCCTGAGCTTTGTGCTCTGCTCTGTGCTGCCAGGACGTTAAGGGTGCTGGGACAGCACGATTTGCTGTGGAATACCCTGGGCTGAGTTTTGGTAATTCAGATGGCTCCCTGTGCTTATCTGCTTGTCTGTTTCCCAGGCAGGGGATAGCATGGTGTCAAATAACCGTACCAATCCTGTGGTTGGTTAAGCTACCTCTGGCCTGGCTTCAGATAGCCTGAGTGCTTATCTGGGTTAGAGGGTGGGACGAGGGTTTCAGGGGCTGTAGAGGTAGAAACTGGATGACTTATGACTTGCCTCGTGTTTACAGAATAAGGTGTGGGGAGCTGTGAGGTGGGATGCTTGCAGGGTAGGTAGTAAGTGTAAGTGCTGCTTCTTGATTTGCCTGTCTGACCTGCCCACCATCCTATCAGTGCGGAAATGGAAGACTACAGTGAGCAGGACTCTCACAATGTTGCTAGCCCCACAGAGGAGCCAAAAAGCAGTGTGGGCACTGGTTGCTGTTCAGAGTTTCCCCTTTCACTGCTGGAAAATGGACAGCCCTGTCAGGCACACCCTGACCTGCATAAAATCATCCAGGTGAGGAATGTGGGAGTTTGGCTTGTGTGCCACAGGGTGGTGGAGTGGAATGTCTACTTCATGGTTGGGATTTCTCTTTCAGGAAAAGTTCCTGGAAATTGGAAGTTTACATTTCAAGCCAGTGCCATCAAATCCTCACTATTTCTTCTACTGCCCACCATCAGCCAAGAAAGAGGTAGGCATGGTGCTGCCCTGGCAGGCACCTAGTCCTTGTAGAGAGAAGCAGCTTTGCTTCTCATCAGTTCTGGATTTGGGGCTGGCAGATTCATGGAGACTCACGGAGACTTAGAGAGACCACCACAACAGCCTGTTCCATTGCCTGGTACAGTTTTGGTATCTGTCCTTCTTCTCTCCCTCTCAGGAAGAGGCATCTCGGGATCAGGCAGACAGGAAAGGCAGTGAGGACATGGAGGTATCGGAAGCAGAACTGGCAGCTGAAGAAGGTAAAATTTTCTTGCTCTGTCCTAGAGAAGGAAGATTGTTGTCTCACTGCGGGTAATGCCTGTCAGAACTTGTCTGTGTCTGGTGGGGTCTCTGTTTGCTAATGGGGATCCTTTGTCAACAGGAACTGTGTCTGGGTGCTGCATTGCCACGGAGAGTGACCCAGAGCTGGAGGTGGAATACCGTGAGAAGCTGGAGCATGAGTTCCCAGACACAGATTCGCTCTCGGATTCCAACACAGTGAACCAGGATGATGACTCCTTCAGCGTGCTGGGAGGGGACTCGCTAAATGAGCAAGAGTTCATGGAGCAGGAGATGCCCCCACTCTTTGTGCACCTCACTTGTTCTGTGAAGCTGCGTAGCCAGCATAGCTCCATGCCTGTACAGTCCCTTCCAACTTGCCTAGGTAAGGACAAGCCTTACTGCGAGGTTAAAGGGCAGTTAGGCTTTTGTGAGATCTCTCACTTGCTGTGGCTTTAGTTGTGGAAAGATCACTTTCTTAAGCCTGTCCAGTTGTGTGGGACAGCTACTTGTTGCAGTTTCTGTGCTTCCCACCAAGCTGTGTGTGTGTGTAAGCAGAGCTGTTTGTCATGTGATCCCCTTAGTTTGAGATCTATCCTCAGGGGAAGTTCTTGGCTGCCTGGAAAGCTGCCAGGGCTTGACCACCATTGACCTGGGGGACCTCTGTGTGACTCTGGATATCTTTGTGCTTACCCTGCCCCTCGAGATAGAGGTTGTGAACACAGACATTCTCCACAACAGGTAAGTGGGGGGAGGCCCAGCTGCTTACCCATCCTCTGCCTGCCCTTCCCAGCAAGATGGTCTCAGGTCATCTCCCTGTTCTGAGACCAGGTATTGTCTTCCTTGTGGAGCATGCAACAGCCCTGAAGAAATTGAACGTTTTTCCAGGATAGGCTCACCTTTCATAGGGATCACTTTTCCTTCTCTGGAAACTGTGTCTGTTCCTCCTCTCTGGCTCAGAAGCTGATGCTCAGCCTGCTCTGTCTCCTCTGGCAGATGCACCTCAGAGAGCAGCGTGTCCTTCACCCGCTCTCCGGGGCAGCCATCCTCTTTCCGGTCAGATGAGGATATCATGCACAACTTGGATCGGCTTCCATCCACAGGAGATGAGAGGTATGGCTCTGCAGCTGTAGTAAGCCCTGTCATGAGTTTCTTTTGCAGCCTAGGAGCTGCACTGTGGTATCTGTGTGAATGAGAATGACTGACTGGTTCTTATTGTCCTCTCTCCTAGGCACCCTGCGCTTTCCAACCTCCCTGGAGTGCACAGGCAGGCTATTGAAGCTACTATGAATGAGGTAAGGCAGCTTTGCCTGCTTCTTGCTTCCAGCTGGAGTAGTTTGCCACAGCACACACTTGCTGTTTCATACTCTGTAGCCTGCTTTAGGCCATACCCTTTGTCACTTGAAGCGACTTTCAAGCCTTGTATCACACAGGTCATTGGCCTTGTGCCACCCAGAAGTGTGAGGTTAACTTGTGGTGCAGTTGGGGTGGGACAGGCAGACTTCTTCCAGAACTCTTTGCTTAGGTACAGTCAGAAGGAAGCGAGGAAAGTAGACAACAAATGGAACTATTTTGGACTTGCTGAAACTTGGGTGGGAATTGGGGCAGTCATATCGGTTGTGCTCTGTGTCCCTGCTCTGCTCAGATTCGCTGGCTTCTGGATGATGAGATCGTGTCTGCGCTGCGCCACTCACAGGTCATCAGCACCTCCATCCTTCACCGGGTGGCCACTCACATCTACAACTCCAAAGGGCGGCCCAGCTGCCACAGCGAGGTGGTGCTGCTCCAGTTTGTGTTTGGACCCGAGCACTCTCTGGAGAAGTTCAAGGAGGTAAAGAGGGAGCCCTGAGGCAGTGCTGTACACTTAGCTAGTGGGATGCTTATTCTTCCCTGTGTTACAGGAGTTCAGAAGAATGGCCCTGCCAGGCTACGTGATCAATGCAGAAGGCAGTGACTACCACTACATCTCCATCAGCCGCCTGCACTCCAGGAGGGCAGCCCCAAACCCTTCGGGAACACCATGCTTACAGCAGCAAGCTGGAGGAAGCACAGGGACAGCCCTGGGCCAGGCAGGCCAGGAGGGGAGCAGTGAAGCAGAAGCAGAGAGCTCTGAGCTGCACCATGTGAGCTGTGTCCTCCCAGAAGAAACTCAGGGTCTCTGGGGATGGCCAGAGAGTGAGATGCGCATTGTGCCGGACACAGGAAATCCCATAGGAGGGGGCAATCATGCTCAGGATGAGGTGAGAAACCCTGGGGTGGGCTGGTGGGAGGGTATGGGACCCTCTGATGACTGAAGGTAAAAGGATGAAGGTGGAGGATGGGTAGAGTTGTTTTGGTGCCTGTTTTACTGGTTATTTTTGCGACTTTGACTTGTGTGCAGGTCACAAGAGAAGTGCTGAGCCTAGAGCAAAGCAAAGTACCTGGCCACGACTCCCTGGAGGAGGCAGTCCTGGAGACAACCATACAATCCCTGCCATCTTCCTCTTCTGAAAAGGGCAACAGCGAGAAATCACCATTAGTGACACCATCTGCAGCCAGCCTAGCTGACTCTGTAACACAGAGTAGGGAAGGTAGGAGCTGCAGATGTAGTTAGGAGGGTGCCTCAGCCTCAGGAGCTTTTAAGGGGCTGGGGGATACTTTCGGCTGCAACATGTGAAAGGTGACTTATTCCTGTCCTTGGAGTCATTGCCCAGAACTGCTAGTCTTCTCTTCCTTGCCACAGTGCTTAATGTTGCCTGGGGTGTTTGACTGTAAAGGGTGCAGTGGTATCTCCAGTTCCATGAAGTTCCCAGTGTTTCCATTAGTGTATGAGGCCCATTGCCAGCAGTACATTCCCCAGCACTGCCTGCCTGTGACTTGTGCTGTAGCATTTCTCTTAACACATAGAGAGTGTACAAGGGGGCTTAGCAAGTGCCTTCGTGATCATCTCCTCTTCTCTGCAGGCTCCAGCAAGCAGCGCCCCAGCCGTGTGCAGAGCCTTGTGTCCAGCCAGGGCAGCATGGACTCTGACCACCTGGGTGAGTGCCAGGGCTGGGGGCAGCAGCAGTGTGCAGTGAGGTGGTAAGGGGGGGTGTGGGGCTGCTGCGTGGGACTGACATGTGGATGCATTGCAGGTTATGATGGGGGGAGCAGTGATTCAGAGTATGATGAGGCATTAACGAGTGACCAGGAGCCTAAGTGTCCCCTCATGCCTGATTTCTGGCTCATCATAAAAATTGAGCAGGACCGAGTGGAAGTCTATTACCACACACGGTAAGGAGGGTCTGGCTGTCTAGCCGCTGCTTCTCTGTACCAACACTTTATTGCCACTCATCTCTGTGGGCTGGATCAGCTTCCCGTCCTATCTTGTGCTTAATATGAGGAAAGCTGCCATCCTTCTCCACTGTGTGCACGCCTTATGCATGCAGACAGGTACTGTGCAGGTATCCTGCTGATCCCTTTTTCCCCTTCCCTGTAAAGCAGCCTGAGTGTGGAGAAGGCAGTATCAGCAGAGATAGAAGAGCAGCCAGGGGAGTGCCAGAGTCTCAACCAGATGGTGATAAAGAAGATCAGTGAAATCTGCAGGGTTGTCAATCAGGTAAAAAAAATCTGCAGAGGGTAGGGGCTGAACTGCCAATCATTAGATGGCTTAGAGGGGAAGGGACCTCTGGAGTTTGTCTGGTCCATCTCAAAACAGGTCCTGGGTGGCTAGGTCAGCAGGTGGAGTCTCAGCACAGGGATCAAAAGAAAAGGGGTTTTGTCTGGCCCTGAGCCCTCCGTTTTTGCTGTCTTCCCTGGGCTGCTCAAACAACAAAACCTACTTCTTCTAATCTGTTACAGCGCTTACTGCTGCAAGACCTGCATGACAGCCACATATGCAACTCATTGCTGGTGGCAGAGAGTGAGGAGGACATCTGGAAGAGTGAAACTCCCTATACATACTATAGGCAGCGTGTCATGCCAACAGACGGTATGAATGCTGCCTACTCATGGGCAACTGGAAAAAGCAACTTCTGTGCCACGGCCCCAGCTATGTGCTATCTTCTTTCTAGATTACTCGGTGGAAGAGAACTACCAGCCCCGGGATTACCTGGCTGCCACAATGCAGTTCATGCCAGGGCACTTTGCTTGTGATGTAGTGTGGAGCACACTCATCCACGTGCATTCACGCCTGAAGATGGGCCCCAACATGGGGGTCTCACGAGGTGTGTACAGCCCAGGTTCCTCCTCATTTTGTGTGTCAAGTCTGGCTTGTGGCTGGATTGGCACAGCAGAGGAGGATGTGTGGGATAGCTAACAACCCACCTTGCCCACAGCTATCCAGGCGCTTCGCTCGGTGCTCAACGCCTTCTCTGTAGTGAACAGGAAGAATATGTTTGTCTACCAGGAACGTGCCACTAAATCTGTTTTCTACCTCCGGTAAGAAATTGGCTTGACTTGTTGGCCTGACTCTGCCCTGCTGCATGCATTACACCAGGCTGAGAGTTGTTTGGGGCAGAAAGTGTCTACCCAGCCTTGGGAACCGTGCTGTGACCTAAGCAGCAAGTGTCTGATTTCTGATAGGTCACTTTGCTCCTACTCTTCCTGTGCTGAGCCCTTACCTAGGAGGAAAAAGGATATTAGTTTTGAGAGAGCAAGTGATTTTTTTTCACAAGCTCTGTACCAGAAGGACTTATACTCAGGAATAAGGACTTATCTCCCTTATCTCTCAAGGGAGAGCAAGGAGGATGTAGATCCTCTGTGAAGGCATGATGCTGTTACTCTTGGCAGCGGAGGCTGATGCTGCTTTCTCCTATATTCAGACTGGCTGAAACCACCAACAGTGGGAAGGTGTGGGAAGCAGAGAGCAGCGTTAGCCCAGGATCTCGCTCGTTGGCACTGACGCGCAGCCAGGAACCCATTTACACTGAGGATCTAACGGTGAGTCTGCTGCAGTCTGGGAGCAGATGTGGGATTTTGGGTAGGGTAAAATTTGTATTGCATATATGTGGATGGGTATGGCAGTGGGTGGCACTGTATCTGGGATTCATGTGGATGCTGCTTCCATGTGTCTGTTTTTTGCTTCTCCAGGGCTCTCGTTCCTCTCTGGACACAGCCTCATGCCGCAGCATGGACTCTGCCCGCCTGGTGGGACAAGTAGACAGGCACATCCAGCTGATGGTCCATGGTGTTGCCCCAGCAGGTAGGTGTTACAGTGCCTGGCAGCAGATGTGCTGATACTAAGCAGAGGCATGGAGCTCCATCCCTTGCCCACTTTGTTTGAAGAGCAGTGTCTCCCTCTTGAACAAGCTGCTCTTTCTTAGACCGGAGCTGCTATCTGTTCCATGTGGATGGGAATGTGAGGAAAGGGACCCATGGCCCTTGATTAAATCTCGTGCAGATTATGTGATTTATGCCAGCTTTCCCTGTGCAGGAGTGTGTTTGTTTCTGCCTGCTGTGCTAGCAGTCTTTGGCAGTCAAAATAGATAGGAAAACATGCCTGAAGAAGTTGTTGGTGGAGAAAGATGTATTCCATGTGGGAAGTGCTTGTGAGGGTGGTACATTCTCACCTGGTAGAGGGAGGTGTCTGTGGTTGGTTATGGTCCTTATGAGATGAGGTGAAAAAGTTGCTTGTGCCTCTGTCTATCTGTCAGGGCCCGAGATCACAGATGAGCTGGTGAAAGTGCTGCGCAGGCGCCTGGATGAGGCCACCCTGGATATCATCACTGTGATGCTGGTCCGGAACTGCAAACTGACCCCAGCCGATGTGGAGGTACCTACCTTAGTAGCTGTTCTGCTCATCCTGTTGTCCATAATGTGTCTTTTTCACCCATCCCAGCCTCCCTTATCCCAGGGAATGCCAAGGCAGTCTGCTGCATCCCATTCCCTGCTCTGGTGCTTACTTGGGTTGGCATTCATAGATCTGTTCTCTGCATAGGTGCTAGAGTCAGTGGGGGGCCCCAGAGTATCCTGCTTGATTCAGCTGAGTTCTGAAACTTTCTCTCTACAGTTTATCCAGCCCCCTGGGACACCACCCACAGAGGTCCTGCAGTTTACACTGCCACCCTCTGCTCTGCCTTGGTTGCATGCAGTGGCCTACTATCTGCGCCAGAACCTGCTCATCTTCCTGCATACCCCAAAGTACACAGACAGCAACGTGGAGCACCACTTCAAGGTTAGGAGGGTAGTGAGTGGGGCAACAGTTGGCTCAGCTTCCATCTGCTTCTGGGGGCTCTCTCTGGGGTAGCTCAGCCGCTGCATTCTCAGCCCTGCCACATATAGGAAGGAACAAACAGCGAATACTCAAGTGTGGAGGAGTTTTTCAGGACTGTGGGCAGTCTCTAATGACCCTGGTGTAGGCTTGGACAGGCCTTGCTTTTACTGGAGTGGTTACTGCTCTGTGGGAAATAACAGCTGCAGAGTTCATGCTCACAGTCTTCCAGGGGCATGGGAGAAGACCTCCTTGGAAGGCTGAGCCTTGGTCCTTGTGTGGCCAGGATCTAAGGTTTGGAACATCATAGTTGTTAGAAGTGGGAGCAGCTATCTGCTCCTTCAGCAAGACTGTTAAGGATGAAAGATGAGGCCAGGTGTACAGCCTTATAACTCTGGATAGAGCTGTAAGAGGGTCCTTCTGCCAAACAGTGGCCAAATCTGCTGGCAAGTGTTCTTAAATAGATCAGAGCTGCTTGTTACAGGCCTGGAAATGAGCTCCACGCATGCATGCGTGGGCCTCTACTTCTGGTAAAAGCAGGTACTCCAGATGCTGTCACATTTTTTTCCTTGCTCTCCATAGCACTACTTAAGCCACAGTGGTGGTGTCCCTGACCAAGATCTTTACCTGTACAACAAACCTGGAGGCCAAGGCACTGGTGGCAAAGGTACTGTGCTCAACTTCTTTTTTTTTTTTTTTTTTTTTGAAGCAGAATATGGGACTGTGCATTGGGGAACCACTTCCCATGTTAAAGAGCTCTGAATCACTGAGGATGACCTCAGTGTTAGGGCAGTGTTTTTCTCCAATAGCTGAGGAGTGTGCAAAGAGTTTGCTTGGGAGTCTGCACAACCATGCGTGGTAGAATGAAGTTAAGGACTCCCACGGAGCTTGTCAGGTTGTTGTATGAAGCAGCTCTAGATTGTAGCTGCTGTGGAGACAATGCCCTCTGCTCTTATCTGTGGACTGCTGGAAAAGGGATTGGATAGGGCTAGTTCTGCAGCAGGCTGTCATATCATGTTGTGTCAAGGCCATGTGGTCTGTCAGCTGGCCTTTGTGAGTCCTGCTGTGTCCCGTCTGAATGTTCTTCTGTTGTGTAGGTACCATGTCGGACCTTGTGCAGCACCTCTTTCCACTCTCCCACTTCCAAGGTAGCACCTCTGGCTCCTACTACTATCCTAGTTTCCCTTCCCACGCAGCTCCCTGGCCCCTCTGGTCCCTGCTATTCTTGTCTTCCTTGTGCTGTGGCTTCAGCTCTGACTCCTCTGTGTTCGTGTCTGTATGTCTGTCTAGCTGAGTCACCTTTTTCTTGCTGCCTGGATAAATGAGCAAATAGAATCTGCTTGCAAACAGTGAATTATCAAGTTCTACACCCTTATTTTTCCCCACAGATCAGAATGGTCACCTTATCCTTAAAGAGATCATGATATTTCAGTTGTAGTTTCAAACTCTTGTGTAGCATCATTACCCTCCTAGGTTGTGACCTGGATAGGAGTTCACTTTACTTACTGAAGGGCCACAGTGACAGGGCTTTGCTAGATGTGTGCTTTGTATTTCAGAGAACTTGGGTCAGGGAAGCTTGGAGAGCCCCTTATAAATGGGAGACAGTGGTTTCCTAGTGCCCCCATCAAGTGTTGTTCTGGTGAGCATGGGTCTTACTCTCAAGCAGATGAGTTTATGCCTTTCTCTGTTTAAAGAGAGAGAGTTGTCATATGGGGCAAATCTGCTGTTCCTGATGTCCCTGTATGGACACCTCCATCCCAAAAAGCTGCTGTGCTGCAGCAAGGAGCTGGGTAAGGCAGGAGAGCTCTGTCTGAGGCTCCAAAGGGAGTGAGGTAGAGGGGCCCAGTCTCCTCTACCTTTGATGTTGAGGAGATTATACATTTCTCCTTTTGTTTTCTGCTGGATAAATAATTGTTCCTGTGTCTGTCTCGGAGAGCAGAGCCATGTCAAAGGCTAGTGCAGAGCACTTACAAGATGAGGCAGCTCCTGTAGTCATCTTCAATTAGAGTGGTGCTTGTAGAGTTTCCTTTCCTCACAGCGAATGCAAGTGTGTGCTACGCTTTTATTCGAATGCCTCCTTCCCTCCTCTGGGAGCAGTTCTCTGCATCCCAGTGCCCTTTCCTTTGTATCTGTTTTGTATCTAGGCACACTGCATCTTGCCAGTGTTGGGACAGCTGTGCCATCCAGTCACCTGAGTGCTGCCTTGGTTAGTTAGGAGGCATTGAAAGGGGGTGGGATCATGTAGCATGATAGTGAAGAGTTTGGATCTTACAGCTGCATCTCCGCTGCTACTTCCTTGGTACTCTGGCACGCGAGCTGGGCTGTGGGGAGGGAGTTCTTGATCCTGCTGTGGGTCATAGCGGGGCTTCTTCTGCGTGGCCCAGGGTGTGTTGCATGAGGGTTGTGCACCAGCTACCGTACAGCTGCTCTACATCTCAGAATTATGCAGGTGTGTGAGTGAGGCTATAGGTAGGGCCTGAATTTTACTCCAAGTGAGTCTAGGCTAATATTAGGTGTCAACCTGCTTTGTTTTCAGTTGTGCTGGTAGGAATGCATGGGAAAGGCACCTCATCTTATACAGATGTGCAGTGGGGAGTGTGCTATGAGTGGAGTTTGCAGCAAAGTGCCATGTGTAGGCTTTCTGTGCATGGACTCAGTGTCCCATGTGACCCAACAGGGCTGTTGGAGAACATCTGGGCCCCAACCTCTGGGTGCTGAGCCCCATCCCAGACTTCTCTGCATAGTGGCCCTCCTGAGGCAAATGGAGATGCTTTCTCTTTGTGTATGGTGCTGGGTGACCCAAGAAATTTCTGAAGGGCAAAGTGACAGCTACCGTGACAGGGTGGTGAGGACACCCTGTGCTGAAGGCCTTGCTTTTTGCCCTGACTCCCAACGAGCACAGCTAGCTCCCTCTCCCCTGGCTGCTTCCCCTCCTGTGGGCCCTGCCTGCCTTGTGCACCCACAGCCCTGTGAAATCCACGTGGCAAGGGCTCTGCCCCCAAGGCCTGGTGTGCAGGCATGGGGTGGTCACTCTGCTCTGTTAGTTGCCAGCTGGCCTTGCAGCAGTGTGCCCAGTGCTGTGCTGATGGAGGCTGTCCTGGGCTCCCCTGTAGGAATTGCGTGCATTGCACTGACGTTTGTGGATGAGAATGGCAGCCCCACCACGCTGCCCCACGGGGAGAGACCTGACTGTCCTAAGGTGCCCATCATGGACCTGCTACGGGATGCCGACTTTGAAAGCCTCACTGCGGTTAGCAAGCACCAGCCAGAGCCTGGCACCCAGCACTCAGGTAGGGTGCCTTTGCATCCCCCACAGCACCTCCAGAAGGTGTGGGTGCTGAGCTGAGCGGGGCTGCCCTTTCTCCACAGAGCCCTGCGTGCTGGTGCGCCTGGACATCTGGGAGAAAGGCAACATTAGTCTGCTGCAGCTGTCAGAGAAGCTGCGTGGGGCTCTGCGCCATGCTCTGTGCGATGCCATCATGGAGTTCCTCGTGCTGCCAGCCCCGCTCTGCGTGGAGGCTTCCTGCCCACTGAGTGCTCCAGACCTGGAGGAGCTGAGCTCTGCAGGTGAGATTTGGGATGGGATGGGCGCCTCGAGCTGTCCACAAGCCTTGCTCCTCCTGCCTGAGGGAGCTTTGTCTGTGCTGGAGGAGAGCACTTCTGCCTCTGTCACTTGTTCAGTGCCCCACCATAGAAGTAGTGTTGGAAGAAATCTTTAGAGTGAATCAACTTTGCTAAGTGACGCTGAGGGCTGCTCCTTTCTATCTGGGCAGCCATGGTGGCACATAAATGTCACAGTGGAAGGCTCTGAAGTGAATGGCTTGCTCTGTTTCCACAGCAGGCCTAAGGAGAACCATGTCAGAGACCAAGGGTCTGGCCATGGGCACTGGTGGGGCTGGCAAAAGCTGTCCTCCACCCCTGCACTTCACCTCTGCCCCTTCGGCCAGCCCCGGGGAGCCGGTGACACCCACGAGCAAGCTGGGACGCCGCAGTTTCTGGGACATGCTGGTAATATTGCTGAGGGTCTGGTGGGAAGCAGGGCCAGCAAGTCTGGTGCTGCATCAGACTGGGAGGAAGAGAAAGGAGGAATCTGGATGGGGTAGGGAGGTTTGGCCTGGTAATGGGATTTGAGATCAGGGCAACAGCTGAGCTGTGGGTATGCAGAGCCTTAACCCTGCACCGCCTCTCTGTAGAGCAAGCCTGAGTCCTCGGAGCTGGGCAGCCCCAAGACTACTGATGACATTGTGCTGGAGAGGCCAGAAGAGGCTCGCACAAGGCGGCGGCATAAGACTGAGAATGTCAAGCAGCACCTGAGCCAGGACAGGGCCACAGCCACAGCTGAACTGGAGCAGGCACAGCGGTAAGGCAGCCGGGGCGCTGCTCTCGTCTGGCTGCTGTACGGATTCCACTGGCTCTGTGTGCATCATAGCCCTCTGGACCATGTCCCCTTTCCTTGAGGTGTCTCCCTTATGCAGCCAGCTAGGGGAGAGCAGCCTTTCACACAGAAAGCCTCAAGCCTTCATGCTAGAGTGTTGCTGTGAACCTGGCTACTAGTCCTTGTTCCTTCCCTGCATTGTAGGTCCTGCACATCTGTCGCTGCTAAGTGCAAGGGCTGTAAAAACTGAAATAGGGGTTTCCCTGGGATTTCCCTTCTGGGTCTGGAAAAGAACCACCGTATCTTCTTGCCTTTGTTGCTGTAGACTGAGATCTGGTATAATCATGTTGCATTTCTTTACTCCCAGGCGCCGAACCTGCCAGTTGGAAGAAGGAGATGTAGGCACCATGCACTCGCTCTTCAATCAAACGTGCCAGCAGTGGATGGCATTTATGAACCACCTGGGTATGTATCTCAGGCTGGGGATGGGCCTTTCTTTCCTTCTTCACACAGCACCGAGCCATTCCTCTTCATTCCTTGCTTATCTCTAGTTAGTTGTGCACTCTGTCTCTTTCCAAACTATGTAGGGTGCCCATCAGTGCAACAGTGCTCAGCAGAGATTGTGTCCCGTTTCCTCCTGTCCTCCATTCTGGTGGAAGTGGTGAGCCTGGTCACTTCCCTAGCGAGTGACACCACTGTCAAGGTGTTTGAGAAGATCTGGTGAGTTACACAGTCTACACGAGTCTGTCTGGCACTGGAAGATGCTCATGTGCCAGCTACTATGCCCGTGTCTCTATCTATCAGCCACCTTTGGTGCTCTTCTTTGCAGCTGCCATCGGAGCACTGCCTTCCTGCCCTATAAACCTGGTCAGAGTGCCAGCCCTCGCCCTGCAGCTGTCAGACACTTCATCCTGCTGGGACGCAACTTCCACCAGTGGCGCTGCAGCACGGAGCAGGGTGAGTACTGCCTTGTGACACTGGTTATGGTTGGCTAAAAGACCCTGCTCCTGGTACTCTTCAAACTCCTATCCTGCACTATGGATGAAGTGATTATATTTGTACACTACTTCTTCCCAGTACCTTGTCTAAAGCTTCCTGGGAAGAGTCTCTCGGTGTGTAGCACCCTGAGTTGAGGTCAGCTCGGACCTTCTGGAAAAGCTGATGGGTGCTCTGACATTGTGACCTGTTAGCTTTGTCCTCCACAAGACAACCTACTCCTTTAATTGGTAGAAGTGTACTGAGCGAGCCTCTCCTTTGGGCAGAGCAGAGGACAGCTGTGCTTGCAGAAGTCACCAAAATGAGGCACTGCTCACTGCAAATGCTCACAGCTCAGCATGACTGAGGCCTCTTTTCAGTTGGGACTAGCAATCCAGATCCTTCCGTGTGGGGCGAGCATGTCACTAGAGCAAAAACATCTCTTTACCCATTGTCATCTGCTCACTTTTCATAGCCTTTTTCAGCAATTAGCAAAGACAAGCTGACCTGTCAGGATCTGGAATCCAGCATGGAATGTGCTCCTAGGTGCTCTGCCAATACCTTTCTGCTTCCTCTTGGCTAGGCACGGCAGAGCTGAGACAAGCTTGTCTGGAGCGTAGCTCTTTGAGGTGGGGAAAATGGGTCACCTTGCTGGGAAATTCTGAGCTGGTGGTGCGTGCTTGTGGTCCAAGTGATGTGTGCTGTTGCTGTCCCTTCCTCTCCCACAACTACGCTGGGTCCCAGGAGGGGTAGCACTGGGCTTGGCTGATCTAGCACAGTTGGACTGTGCTCCTTCTGAGGAGCTGATGTTGTCTCTACCTTTAGACAGCAGCAGCGAGGAGGAGCAGCCAGTCCCACCTGCTCACAGGTTCAGACGTAAGTTCCTGTTCAGCATGGTGCTGCTGGAGCGATTGGCTTGAGCAACAGCTGCTTGGGCAAAGTGGCCAGGTTGCACAAGGCTCCAAGCTGGCTTACAGGTGGTGATGCTGTGGCAGGACTCATTGTGCACAGCCACAGTCAGGTCTCGTGTGGTTGCTGTCGTGCTCTTCTAATGCCAGAAATGCATCATAGGAAACATATAGCTTGCAGAGGAGCTCTGCTCTTCTGTGCTCAGTTAAGCTTCACAATTGCATGCATGATGCTAACATCTGGGATTTGTTGTGGTATGGACAAGATTAAAGATGTTGCTGGGACCATGCCGTAAGTTAACTGGAAACATCAAAGAGCAGAGCCAGGGTATGCTGAGTGATCACACCGGGTTGCCATGGCAGCATTGTTAATAAGTGTAAAAGTGAACAAAGGTCCCGAGCAGACCTTGGCTTTGGGTTGTGATTGGAAAAATACCATCGTGTGGGCTGTGTTCAAATGTCCTTTGAGAGTGATGAGCTGAGCAGTATCATGGCACAACACTGTGTCATTCTGGGATGAACTGGTATGGAGGGCAATAACTCTGGCTTCTTTCAGCTCACAAAGGGCTCCAGCGCTTCGAGGCCATGGAATTCAGCTCGGCAGAGAGAGGCTCTGACCCAAGCATTGTTGGGCGAGACCTGGCACCGCGACAGAGGTTCCTCTTCATGGAGATTGTTGACAAAAAGGTAACAGTGATGCCTTTGTGATACTGTCTCCTGAAAGCCGTGCTGCTGTAGGCAGCTGACCTGCCCCAGGCAGTAGCCCTGTGTCACAGCAGAGCAGGGGGCTCCCTGCAGCTGTCTTGACTCCTCCTATTTCACCGTGGGCTGTAATTGCCCTTTCTCTTCCTATAGCAATGGTCACATCAACCTTTTACTTGTACTGCCAACTCAAGTGCTGCCACCTGCTGCTGGAACTATTAACAGGGTTGCAATAAATGAGCAGGTGTCACTAGCTCTGTTCCAGCCTTACTATCTGAAAGCAGCTGGAGCTCCAGCAAGTCCCACCCAGAGCACCTGGGGCAGCCCGTCACCTTTTTCTAAGCAGATCCTTCACCCTTCCTCCCCCTCTTTTCTTTCTAGCTGACTCTTTACACCTACAATTGGTCCCCAGACCTGGGGGCCAATTTGAACTGCTCACTCGTTCGTCTGCTGCAGTGGCAGAATGCCCGCTCCCACATTGTGCACTGCTTGATCAGCCAGAAGATGGGACTATTCCACCACCACTGCTTTATGGACCCACCGTGGCATGAGGACAGCAAGCAGGTAGGGCACCCTCCCAGACAGAGCAGTTCTTTCCCCATCAGGAGGAGTTCTGGCAGGCAGTTCTGGGGTCTAAGAAGGTTGTACTTGTGGGCTGGTTGGCACGGCATCTTCAGATGGTTATATGTCCAACCAGAACGTGTCCTGACAGATTGCTGCTGTTGGCATTATTAGTGGCTGGAATACTTAGGGTGGAGGAGCCTGCGGAATGGGCTTCCTATTGCATGCTAGAGCAATATTGTCCTCTGGACAGGTGGTGGAGAAGGCCAACAAATGTCTTGACCAAAATTGATGACCAAAATTGGATCCACTCTATTCTTGTGGATTCTTGCTCCTTAACTAGCAGTAAAGAGTCTTTCGTGGCTGCTTCTGCTTTCTTAGGAGCCAAATCCTTTCCTGAACTCCACTTTGGAGGTGGATGCGCTGATCCGGAGCTCGTGTCCCCCACCTAGCAAGGAGCAAGGCCGGCTGAGCAGCTCTGCACGCAGCCTGCCATCTCTGCATTTCCATCCTGATGTGGTGCCCTTTGACGAAGCTCTGCGGGATGTGACCACTATCAAACGCATACCCCATGGTCCAGAGTTGGGACCTTTTGACCCTGTGGCTCGACATGGGGCCCAATTCCTGGAAATCAAAAGCATGGAGAGGAAAGGTAAAGCAAGAGGCATGCAGGGACTAGAGCCTAACTGCCTGATCACACTCCTGCTCCTGGAAAAGGAGTGAAAAAAGCAGAATGAGTTCTGGCAAAGGGGCAATTGTCAGCTATTCCTGCCAGGATGCTGTGAAAGGATGGGTTATGGCCAGCATTGGGAGTATAGAGGGTGGGGTGGGTGTGTATTGGAATGGCTGTGGCTTCATACATCTGTCTGTTCTCTTTCCTCTAGAATTGGAGAAGCAGATGAAGATAGAGAATCTCTTTGTGACCTGGCAGCAGAGATCAGCACAGTCAAATATGCCTATCAGTGTGAGTGCAGACTGGGCCTTTGTACAGAGTGCTGGCAAAACCAGCATTCCTTTTGTAGGAGGGAGCATTGGAGCTTAGATTGGGATTCATGCTGGGGATGGCGTCTGGCTGTGGAGCAGTGCTCTCTGCTTGAACTTCTGGGCCTGCTGGCCTCTAGAGCTTTGCTAATGAGTCGTTGCTGCCCAGAAAGTGCTGTAAAACAGAGTGGTTGCCTCTGAAGTTTAATTCCCACTTGAGCAGCAGGATGGTATTGCAAATAACTTGGTCCTGGTCCTGATGAGGGATGTGTGCTTGTAACTGTGTTCTTGTGCTGTGCAGCTGTCAGACCTGGAGACCCTGAAGCAGTCCTCACGCCTCGTTCACTACTGTGCTACCCCACTGCTCTTTGACCCAGCCTTCCGGCAGCAGATCCAGACTGACCAGCAGGGCAAGGTAGAGGGGAAGGTGAGTGTTAGCAGAAGCCAGCTGGGTTTGACTTCTGTGTGCTGGAAAAAGGGATGACTTCGCTTTTTTTTTTTTTTTTTTTTTTTCCCAAGATAGTTCTGCTTTGAGCCAACCCATGCATTATGGGATGAATTTGCAACCTTAGAACAGGGCATCCACCATGGTGAAGATGGAGACTGAGAAAAAAATTGGGTCCTCAAAGCCTTCTTTGTGCAGTCATACCATCCCTGGGAAGAATTACTTCCCTTTGCTACCCAGGGAATCCAGAGGTAGAGTCTAGCAAAGCCATCAGCACGCTGTCTGTTGGGGAAGCTAAACCACTCTCTATACGTTCAGTAGCCAGACCTGATAAAATTTGTCCAGACCCAGCAAATAGCTGGAACAATTGAAAACAAGCCTCCTGAATCCTGAGCAGGTTGCAGCCTGACAGAGTCTAACCTGTGCAGATGTCATACCGGCTGTTCGTGGTCTGTGTGTGTGTCAGAAGGGAAGAAAAGACTGTGGTAATTTATCTAAATGTCAGAAGGATTCTGACTGTCTTTAAACAGAGGCTGCTGCAGAAATTGAGCGCTCATGAGAGAATGGAAAACTATCATCACAAAATGAAAACTTCACTTTGTTTTTAGGAACAAAACAAAATGAAAACTGGCCATTCAATTTAAAGAGCCTGGGAGCAGGGCACTGAGGTTGTGTATTGGGTTCAATATCACCAGAAAATGTATCTCAGTACAAATGAGATGCCAAGCTTTGAGACACCCTGTAGTGGTTCAGATTGATCAGAACAGGAAAAGACTGTGAAGAGCTCAGAGACAGCCTTGAGCAACCTGTGAAGTGAGTGGTGCTGTGGGAGCAGGACCTGGTTTCCAGGAAGGCAGAGCATCATGGGGGTAGGAATTTGAATTTCTCCCATATTGAACATTGACTGCGGAGCCTGTAGGAGCAAAGCAGGCAGCCCAGTGGATTTCTGCAGTTCATGGACAGCTTCATGCAAAAGGCAAACCATTTAGAATACATTAGAAAGGCATGCTAATATTATGGGTATTCGTACACCTTTCTAAAATGGATCCAAATACTTATGGATGAATGTCTTCATGTGGGCAAGTGTGAGTCCAGCATCTCATAGCAAAGGCACTGAACTGCAGGGACTCAGAGAAGGTAAGGTCAGAGAGTAGCTGGAGAAAGCCTAATAAAGAAAATAAAGAGACTGTTTGTAGGGTAGCTAAATGAAAAGGCAGATAGAAACATGTGAGAGCATCCACCTGCTCAAAGGAGAGAAATCAAGAAGAGAAAGCTTAGAGTCTCACAGCACAAAGACAAGGAGCCTTGTCAAATTCAAATACATGAGAAGGAGGGCTGAAAATGGTGAAAAGAAAATATTATTCATGTAATGTTACTAAACTACTAAACCAGTGATAAAACCCGAGATGTCGGAAGGATTCATAAGAGGACCAGATTCTTACATGGCAACAGGAGCTGAGCACCACTGAGCTTTGTGAACCAGTTGTGAGCTATCAAGACTATGATAGCCGTTCTGGGGAGGAGATGAGAGTCACCCTTTCTGCAGTGAACCTCTTTCAATAGTTTGTTCCAGTGCTGCTAGGTCAGTCAAGGGCTGAGTGAATACTGGATCTGGCATTGCTGCATGTACCATAGGTTGGCCATTACTGCTTTCTGGCAGAGAGAAGTCTGTCTCTGTTCGTCATTCTGGTGCTGTCCCATTGAGCATCCCCTCTCACAGCAACTCTCCTTAGGAAATTCTTTTTTCTTCCAGAAGCGCCACCGCTCAAATGATTCTGCAGCGTCAGGGAGAGACCGCAGCCACAGCTGTGACTCGACGGAATCACTGCCCTGCAAGCTGAAGGAGGAGCCTTGGCTGCAAGAGATGTGCAATGCCTTCTTGCAGCAGTACATCCAGTACCTGCAGAGCATGGGCTTCATTCTGGTCCAGGTGCGGCCGCCCTCACCTACCACTCGCAGGTCAGTGATGTTCTGGGAATCTTGGTAATGAGGAAGGGCTGACATGGAGCTCTGCCCTGGCTTGGCACAATAGGAGATGCTGGCTGCCCTGCTCAAGGCTCTCTCTTGTTGCTTCCAGTAGCACAAGTCGGATCCGAGCTCTGGCAGCAATGAGTGTGGAGGGGAGAGGATCCTTTTCCTATACAAAGCCAAAAGCAGAGGGGAGTCCAAAGGTGAGTGCTTATGCTGTTGAAGAAGTGAAACTGGGATGGAAGTCAGGCTGTGGGCAGAAGTAGGGCAGTTCTGGTTCCTTTTGAATCAATTTTTCACAGAAGGGATGTGAGAGAGCAGAGACTGGTGTGCAGACAGGCTGAGCAGGCTGTGGCTCTTCATTTGTAAAGAAGGCAATGAGGGAGGGACAGGACAGAGCTCTACCAAATCACAGCCAGATGGGAGAGGGATTGACTCACTGCTGTCATTTTCATTACCAAATGAGAGTATCAAGAGCAGGTCCCAAAGCAAAAGGAGTCTTTCTTAATGCAGCAAGCAGGTAACAGCGATCTTTGTCACTGTTTTGTGAAAGCTAAGAGCTTATATGGGTTTGAGAGAGAATAACCTGGAAGAGGAATCCATCAGAATTGCTAGGTAGGCAGAAACCACCTGTGGTTCATGAAACCCAGGGAGGACGGAAGCATAACATTTGCTGACCCTGTTCTCACCCTTTTCTGGTACCTGCTTATGGGTGAAGCTGGTACAAGACTGTGGGCAAGACAACAACTTGCAGTTAAAACAAGAGGAGAGCAATCCACTGAAACAGCTTAACAGCAGGCTAGTGATTTTCCTGGCAGCTAAGCTGTAAATCCCAGCTGGTTGCCTTTGATATCTGCTCTGTTGGGCAGCTGTGATGATCTGGGAAATACTGAGCAGAGAGGTGGGAGTCGGGTGCTGTGGGCAGCATTACCCCTCAGCTCACTGTGCCCTCTTCTGGAGACATCCTGCCCTGAGCAGGCAGGAGGTGAAAGCAGCAGCATCTCTGGCATGCTCTCTGGAAGGCTGCTTATTAGCTTTATTAGAATTGTTTTCATTCTCTAGCATGTCTGCTCCTTTACTACCAGTGAATCTGCTCAGTTGATAGTTATTCTTCTTCCACCTCTGCCACAGAACATCTTGGCAGCTTTGCATGCTGGTGTGCAGGCTGCTCTTTTGTGCAGAGAGCTTCTCCAGCTTTGTCCTTCTCTTCCCAGAGCACAAGCCCTGCTGTTGCCATCTATCATCTGCAGAGAGCTCTTCCAGGTGGGATTGTGCTGATGGAGTTGGCCTTTCAGGTGAGAGAGAAAAAGAAACAAAATACAGCAGTCGGAGGGAGTTTGGGACAGACTTACGAGGACACAGTGTGAGTGAGGAGTGTGGCAGGAGCATGCAACTCTGTCTGCCTCTTCCACAGTACTGCAGTTCTGTAGGGGCAGTTCTGTGGGACCAAGAGTAGTGAGTTTTGCCTGGAAGGGAACAAATACAACGTGCAAGGCTTAGCACCAGGTGGGACACACTGTGCTCAGCCATATATTGGCTGGTTTGTCCCAAGGTCTGCTTTGCTCAGGCACAAGAGGAGACAAAAGAAGGGAGCAAGAATACCAGGGGCCTAGCCCAGCAGATGAACTGACAAGTGTGAAGTGCAGCCAGCCTTGTATGGGCTCTTCTTCCTTGGAGAGGCCCATGCTGTACTCAATGTGCTCTTTCCTCTAGGGCTATTACTTCTGTGTGAAGCAGTATGCATTGGAGTGCTCACGGATCCCCATGGGCCAGTCTGTGAACTCTCAGGTAATGGCTTTGTACAGCTGGTGCTCCTTGTGGCTAGGTGCTGCTATGGGAGAGGCAGAAATCTGTAGGACGGAGTAAGCATTTCATGTGCAGCAAGTTGTGGAATGCTTTGCTCTCTCCTGGTAAAGAAAAGTTTGCAGAGTCTTCTGCAGTCACTTCTACATAGCACGTTGCTTCAGCAGAAGGGAGTGCAGTGAGAGGAGGTAGAAGATTTTAGAAGAGGATGACTCTTGTTCTTTGGAGACAACACACTGGGGAAGAGCAAGAGGAACACGAATCATTTTTGGCAAAAATGACTGCTCTGGGAAAAGTCAGTATATCAAAACCAAAAGTTCTCTGCTTCCACTGAATGAAAGGGAAGCAGAATGGTAACAGGGATCTGTGAATGTAGCTGGCTGCTTTTTGCTAGTGGAGGTAATTTTCTTCACTGCACGTCCTGGTTCTTGATACCGCTGTGTCTTGTTCTGTCGCACCATGGGGCTGCCTGCTCCCTTCTCTTTTGGTGTGTCAATATCTCCTGCCTGTCCCAGGACACTGGATGGGTGCTTAGAAAGGCTGGATGACCCCAGCCTGCCTGAGGCAGGAGGGACATGTGACCATGTTGTCCTTTCCAAGATGGCTGCATAGCAGAGCTGCATCTTACATGAACTGTTCTTGGCATATATAAGCTTAAAACCTGTGTGGACTTTGCTGCAATCCCTGAGGGTTTGCTGGACCTTTCCTGGGAAGTCTGTGTTGCATAGGGCAGGTTACCAGGCTGCAGCTGGCACTGCAGGGAGCACCCAGGCTCTCTGGCTGACCTGGGAGGGCACAGCACTGGGAGCGTTGGGCTTGCAGCAGACCTCTGGCCAGCCTTCCCTCACGCTGAAACCAGCCCGCAGTTCCCTCAGATGGGGCAATTGGGCTCCTCCACCCTCTCTCTCTGCTTATCCCACCCTTTGCCTCTGTAAGATGAGCAGGGGCAGGAACTGGGTTGCACAATGCCTTGTCCTTCTTCCCACTGGCTGTGCATTCTCTCCATCAGGGCACTCTTACAGCCAGAGTTTGCAGCAAGAGCTGCATGGGACACAGCTCCATCTCTGAGTCTGCGGTATGTCTTCTCTTCCTGCTGCCATACTGGGCACAGCAGGACCTGCCAGTGCAGGGCTGAGCCTCCCACTGGCCGTGCTTTTACCCCTCCTGCTCCAGCCACCAGCCTCCTGTGCCAGTGGCTGCTGTATGTGCTTCAGTGGCCAGCACAGCTTGGGAGAAGAATGGGATTGGCCTTGGATCCTTGCATGCAGGCAGTGCTGTGTGTTCCTTGCTCTTTGCCCTGCCTTTATGGGGCAGTTATAAGCTCCTCTCCAGACTGATCCTGGATGTGCAGTTGCCCTCTGCCTCATGGCAATGGTAACACAGGGGGGTGCAGAGAGCAGACTGTTCTCGTGTCAACACCTCCTGCCTGCTGGTGTTCCCTGCTTATTCTGTCCTTAAACCAAGGGATTATGGTGTGGCTCAGCTGCCCAAAGAGGTCATAGAGCTTAAAGACCTTATGATGGCACTGTGAGCTCCTAGTACAAGGGCAAGGCTGAAACCTTCACCAACACTGTCCCCTGTCACTAGCTGCCCCTGTGTGAGCGTGGCTGTCTGTGTGTGCAGGCTGGTGCTGCCCTGGATGACCAGTATGCTGAGTAGAGGTGATAGCCAAATGCTGGTGAGGCCTTCTCTCAAGCTCTTTGACACCTCAGCCACCAGATCATCCAGCTTCCCAGCAGCTAGGCTTGGCTTCTGTTACTGAGTACAGGGCTTTAGAAGCTCTATTGTTGCCCATCTCTGACAACCACTTGCACGGATTCCTGTGCTGCCTCTTGCTCCCAGGGGATACTCAGTAAGTCAGTCCTTACCTGTAGATCCAGAACTCACTGGGGCTCCAGCCTCAGTGTATCCTTTACCTGCTCAAGGACTGGGCTGTGCAGAGCAGCGCTCAAATGGAAGGAGGATCATAGAATTGTTAGGGTTGGGATGGACCCTGAAAGGTTGTCTAATCTAACTCCCCTCTAATAAGCAGGGACATCTGCAGTTCAATCATGTTGCTCAGAGACCCATCCATGACCTTGAATGTCTCCAGGGATGGGGATGTGTCCTGCTTCACGTCCACATGGCTTTCAGCTTAAGGGAGGATGTATGTTATGCCAAAAAGGAGGCAGTGCCAATCGGTTTGTGCTGCTGCTGGAGACCTGCAGCAGCAAGGTCATATGTGGAAGGTGCCACCAAGCTGGATCCCTTGGGGCCCTCAGGAATCAGGTCTGCAAGTCTGCTATTTGCACTGTGCACATAGCTTCTGGGCTGCATCCTGCTGTGGTGTCAGGGCAGGGGTGGCTGTGCTGGTTCCGCCATGCCTTGCTGTCAGCAAGGCTCTGCAGAAGGCTGTGAGGTGCCTGGTAACTCACCTGCTTTCATTCCTTCTCCTTCTGCAGCTCTCCATGCTCTTTACAGAGGAGTGTGACAAGGTGCGGGACCTCATGCATGTGCATTCATTCAGCTATGACTTCCACTTGCGGATAGTCCACCAATATCTGCTGGGCTCCCACATGACGCTCCGTCAGGGGTACCATCTCACCAGCTTCCTGGAGGACTTCATTGCCCATCACACTGACATCCCCAAATTTGGTCGCAACCATGTTTTCCAAGGTGAGTAGCCAGCATGTGATCATTTGGGGATTGATCATCAGCCCATATGTTGGCAAAAGATTTCCACGTGCTTTATGAACACATCTGATTCAGTGAGTGGCAGGAAGAGGGTGACACGGCGCCCACTGTAGGGAAGTCATTAATGCTCTGTTATGGAAGGGAGGCTCACTGCTTTAGAGCCGTATCCCACAGAGTAGTTTGTAGGACAGTGTTCTGCCTTCCTGTGACAGCAATGTGTCTTTCCCCGCTAGGCATGCTGGCCCTGCCCACCAACATGATCACTGCACACCAGCTGTACAATTACATTGCTGACCATGCCAACACCTACCACATGAAGCCGCTGCGCATGGCCCGGCCAGCTACTGGCACTGACAACAAGAAGGGGACTCCAGGCACAGAGCAGAATGAATATGCACTGGTCTCTATTTGGAACAGGTAAGTGCCTCTGCTCCAAGTTCCTGGAGCTGCCTGAGGCTGACCAGTGCCACCTGAGAGCTGAGGAGATTGCCCTAAGGTGCCAACAAGGCTGTCTCTGTCCTACATAGTGCCAGGCAGCAGTGCTGCTCAGCTTTTGGAAATCATGCCCAGCAGAGGTGGTGTATTTGGGTGTTTGCGTGTGCGTGTGCACTTGCCTCGCTTCCCATAACATTTCTGAGGAATCCTATGGTGTTGAATCCCACACAGCCAGCGATTCTACAGTACCAAGAGCTCTGTGAGAGCAAAGTGAGGTTCCCTTCTTACAAATCTGCTTTTCCTCCCAGCTCAGGCTCCTACAAAGACTCAGAAGGTCTGCGTCACCATGATGATTTTGATGTGTCCCTTCTGGTGTGTCACAGCGCAGCACCATTTGAGGAGCAGAGCGAAGCAGAGAGGCGCATGCTCCGGTGAGAGCTGAGGGCCTTGAGCCACATCACCAAAGCTCCCTAACTGGGGAGGAGGGCACTGGGAGGGTGGGCTTTGTCTGGTACGTCACAGACCGGTGTGGTGCTGCCCAGGGAGGTTCCTTGCAGAGGACTGGGCAGTGTGCTGTCTGTCCTCTAGGCAGAGAAACACCCTTATAGCCTGATAAAGTGCCCCACGGTTCCTGTGCAGCCCAGCTGAGAAAGGAGCAGTCCTTCCCTTGGTGACAATGTCATCTTGCTCTCAGGTTGCGTTTCTACGTGATCATGACCAGCCAGAGGGAGCTATTCCCCCGGCTCACAGCTGATATGCGGCGCTTCAAGAAGCTGCCACACTTGCAGCGAGAAGTGCTGGAGCCTGTGGTGGGCCCGGCAGCGTGGGAAGCAGCAGAGCCAGAGCCGAGCCTGGGGCGGCCACAGCCGGTGGAGCGGGAGCTGTGGCAGGACATGGAGGACAGCAGCGAGTTCTATGCTGGGGGCAAACAAGTCCAAGTGGGGCCCGGACTCTTCTACACCTCACCGCTCTTCCCCTTGTTGGCCTCCGAAGTGGCCTCGGCCCAGAAGCAGCTCAGCAGCATGGTGCAGCTGGCCAAGTGCCACTGCCGCAGGGACAACCTCTGGAAGCGCCTCTTCCTTCTGGAGCCTCTGGCTTCTGACAAGTTGAAGTTGGGCAAGTTGTCGCTGGTGGAGCTGGAGGAGCTGCTTGATGCTGTGCATGGGAAATCCATTGCGGATGTGGACCCACAGCTGGTGAGTAGCAGGGCTGTGGTCATGGTGTCCTGCTCTGGGGAGGGACTGGGTCCCTGCAGGAAGTAATTCCTGTTGGGTGGGAAGGCAGAGGCAAGAGTATGTCCTCTAGCTGGCAGGAGAAAGAGGAGGCTGCACAGATCCATCTATGGGGAGTTACTGGCCCTGGGTCAGTATGCCTCACTGGGCTTTGAGAGATGCATCTTTTTTTGGATCTGAGTGCTGCTGTCACATCTGTGTCTGCTGGTGTCCCTGTTTCTTAGCCTTTCTCTGTTCCCACAGGGATGCTTCCTCACCATGACAGTCTCCTGGTACCAGAGCCTTATCAAAGTGCTGTTGAGCCGCTTTCCCCAGAGCTGTCGGCACTTCCACAATGCTGAAACTGGCACCCAGTACTTGGTAAGACCCAGCCCCTTGCCCACCTGCAGCTGTCTCCCCTTCCTAGGGTCCCTGCCTGCTGTGGCTTCCTACTGCGTGAGCCTCATGGTGCTGTCAGGACAACTGGGTGCTGTCAAGCTACCCTCTGCTGTTGCTGGTGCAGTGCAAGGTGTGCTGTTGTGGCACAGCAGTGTCTGCCTCCCTGCCCCTAAACAGTCTCTTCTTTCCCCACAAAGTGTGATGCCAAGTGTGTCCCTGCGTTTTGGCAGTGCAACCTGTGAGCCAAGCAGACTTGTACCTCCAGTGTGTCAGGCCACTCATCCTCCATGTCAACGTGTCCCTGGCTGGGTGTTCATAACCCTGCCTGGGGGTTGTGCTGTCTCCTTTTGAATGTGTGCTGTGGCTCTCTTGACAGGTTGTGCTCAACCAGAAGTTCACAGATTGCTTCGTTCTTGTGTTTCTGGATTCTCATTCAGGAAAAACGGTAAGAGCTTGAGAATGTGAGAGCAGCTATACAGGGGTACATCCAGCAGTGGCCAAAAGTAAGTGCACTGTGGGGAGAACAAGTCAAGAAGCTTGTGACCCCTTTTCCAAATAGTGTCCCAACATATGTCTAGCTGTGCTAAATTGCCACAACCTTTGTATTTAATACCTTCAGCTTTATTTCTTCTGGTCATTTGTAGAACCCATGATTTGCTCTGACTTGCAGCTCCATTATGCCATTACAGCCTGGCTAAAGAGCTGCCCTCCTTGGCTTGTTCTTTTTTGGACCTACTTCTGCTCTTCTTATCTGATGCCCCTTTGTTCTTACATTGGAGAAGAGTGAGCAGTTGATCCCCTTTTCTTCCACAGAGTTGCTTTCAGGTCATGCTCACAGTTGTCTCTATCTTGTGCATTCAGTCCAGCACCAGAGCATGCGTTGCTCCAGTGTTTGTGTTTGTCTCATTAGTGCCACCTTGTGATCATTGATAAGCCCAGACCACCTCCCTCTGTCCCCATGAACTCATGACAGAAATCCTAACTTTGTATTTTGCATTTAGCATTCATCCCTTTCCTGTGGCCTCTCAGAATTCCTTTGGGCTCTTTTTTTTTTTTTTTTTTATTAGTCCTCAAATTTTATCAGTGTGCTCCTCTTCTTTGTGCCATGCTCATTAAAGTACAAATCAATGCGAGTCCCTAAACCTGTCCTGGAGGAACTCCGAACTCCGTTTGTGATCTCTCTCCAGCCCACTGCTTCCCTGTTCAGCACTAACATCTTCACCTCACCTCTGTCCCTGGAAAGGCAATGAAACAGCTTATACTGGATGTCATCTCCAGACAATTGGAAGAAGAGGAGGTTATCAGGAGTAGTCAGCACGGGTTCACAAGGGGGAGGTCGTGCTTGACCAACCTGGTAGCCTTCTATGGTGTTGTCTCTGGCTGGGTGGATGGGGGGAGAGCAGTGGATGTAGTCTACCTTGATTTCAGCAAGGCATTTGATACTCTCCCCCACGACATCCTTATAACAAAGCTGAGGAAGTGTGGGATAGATGAGTGGACAGTGAGGTGGGTTGAGAACTGGCTGACTGGCAGAGCACAGAGGGTCGTTGTTGGTGGTGCAGAGTCCGGTTGGAGGCCTGTAACCAGTGGTGTTCCTCAGGGGTCTGTGCTGGGTCCGGTCTTGTTCAACGTCTTCATCAATGACCTTGATGAGGGGATAATGGCCACCCTCAGCAAGTTTGCTGATGATACGAAGTTGGGAGGATTGGCTGACACCCCTGAAGGCTGTGTTGCCATTCAGCAAGACCTGGATAGGCTGGAGAGCTGGGCAAAAAAAAACTGGATGAGGTTTAACAAAAGCAAGTGTAGAGTCTTGCATCTGGGGAGGAATAATTGCATGCACCAGTACAGGTTGGGGGATGACCTGCTGGAGGGGAGCTCTGCAGAGAGGGACCTGGGTGTCCTGGTGGACGACAAGTTGGCCATGAGCCAGCAGTGTGCCCTTGTGGCCAAGAGGGCCAATGGCATCCTGGGGTGCATTAAAAAGAGCGTGTCCAGCAGGTCGAGGGAGGTAATCCTCCCCCTCTACTCTGCCCTGGTAAGACCTCATCTGGAGTACTGCGTCCAGTTCTGGGCTCCCCAGCACAAAAAAGACAGGGATCTCTTGGAAAGAGTCCAGCGGAGGGCCACGAAGATGGTGAAGGGCCTGGAGCATCTCTCCTATGAAGAAAGGCTGAGTGAACTGGGTCTGTTCAACCTTGAGAAAAGAAGACTGAGAGGGGACCTGATCCAGGTCTATGAATATCTAAGGTGTGGGGGGCAGAATGGCGAGGCCAGACTGTTTTCAGTGGTGAGTGGAGGCAGGACAAGGGGAAACGGCTGGAAACTGCAGCATAGGAAGTTCTGCACAAATGTGCACAAGAACTTCTTTACAGTGAGGGTGACGGAGCACTGGAACAGGCTGCCCAGGGAGGTGGTGGAGTCTCCTTCTCTGGAGATGTTCAAGACCTGCCTGGATGCCTCCCTGTGCGACCTGCTGTAGGGAACCTGCTTTGGCAGGGGGGTTGGACTCGATGATCTCTGGAGGTCCCTTCCAACCCCTACAATTCTGTGATTCTGTGATTATTTTTGCAATTATTCGTGTCTTCAGCTAACCTAAATTTCCCATGTGGTGCTACGTCACTGAAGCTTCCTGAATCTTTCCTGAAGTTCAGATAAGATGCACCATGATTCCTTTGTCTAGAAATATTACCTTATCAAGGAAGAACTCCAGCATTAGCACATCACTTCTGTAAAACAGAAATGTGTTTACCTTATGGTTCATGCTCTAATGCCTTGCCTGCAGTTGGAGTTAGGCTCACAAATCACTTTCTCTTATGTCTTTGATGGTGGCAGCGCATTTGCTGTTTTGCACAGCTCCTCTCGGGGCTTTACAAGTGTGTTAGGAGACCCTGGCTACTGAATGAGCTGTGTTTTGGCTCTGGAGAGCATCAAAGTCCTGAGTCCTGCCTCCACAATGCTGATCTGAATGCAGAGTTGCTCACGTTTTTCTTCCTCATTGGTTCCTGCAACTTTCCCTTCCACGCTCTGTTCTCAGCACCCCTCTGCCCCCACCCTGCCTGCTTCGTAGTTACTAATGAGAATGGAGCAGCTAGCATTTATTTTTAGGATTGCAGTTATTACATTTAATCTCCTCCCTTTCCCTATTTGTTCCACTCCTACTCTTTGCCTTTGAAGAAGAAATTTCCCTCTCATTTCCCTGGAACCCCTTATTACCGTGGAGGCAGCAGGATCCCCTCACTCCCAAGGCAGCTGCTGCTGGGGTTGGCAGAACTGCAGATGCATGGGGGCTGGTACAGAGTGAGCATGTCCTTATTGCCTCATTTCCCCCCCCACAAAAATCGGGATGAGGCTTCAACTAAGCACCAGTGTAGTGCTGCTGGCGTTTTGGGACTTCTCCCAGCACCTGCCTGATGCTGCCAAGCAGGTGCCTACGCAGTCGAGCTTGGGGGCTGTTCACTTCCACCTGTGCCCTAACCTGCTTCTTCCTCTTGGCAGAGTCTCACCGTGGTTTTCCGAGAGCCATTCCCTGTGCAGCCCCAGAACAGTGAGAGCCCTCTGCCGCAGCTCGTGTCCACGTATCACCACCTGGAGTCAGTTATCAACACTGCCTGCTTCAACCTCTGGACAGGACTGCTCTAGCATTGCCACCACCTCCTCCTGCAGGAATACACACTGCACCTGTGCACACTTGTGCTGTGGGCGATGACGGAGAGGAACAGGCTGCTGTGGGACCTGTTCACAGCACTGCTGGCAGCATGCACGCCACCAATGTGATGAGCCTGGGGTTGGGTGAGGGCAGCCCTGCTGCTCCCCTTGGGCTCCAGCCCACCTGCACCCCCCCTGGTCATTGGCTGGCTGCTGTGACCCTGGGGACAGGTTTTAGTGGGTTTGAATGGTCTGTAAAGGCCATGGACAGAGGGTTGGCTGTTGTAGCCTGGCTCAAACAGAGCAGCTCTTGGGGATGTTGACTTCAGCACCTGCAGTGAGTTCTGTCTGATAAGGAAATGGAGGTGCAGGGCGGTGGCACGGTGCCTTCAAGAGGAAACTTCTGCACCTTTAGGCAGGGGGTGCCTGCTTCCAGCCCTTTGCTCTCAATAGAAGAGCACTGAATGGGATAGGAAGGGTGAATGGACATGGGGAAGGTTTTGTGGAGGTGTACATTAATGATGATACATTAAAGCCATGGATATATTTGTGAAATAAAATCGAATCAGCTCCCCACTCCTGTGCCACAGGTTAGGATGGGGAAAGCCTCTTCAGGGCAGCACAGGCACCCATTCCCCATTGGGCTCTCCCTGGAGCAGGGCAGGCTTGAGTTTGCACTGAGTCTCCTCCTTACTCAGAGCAGGAGCAGCCTGCGAGAGGCCTACCTGCTCCTTTTCGCCCAGCTGTTGCGGGCATTTGCCAGCAGCTTTGGGAGCAGCACAGAAAGAGGTAGGCAGAGTGGTGAAGTCCAGAACCTGCAGCTCCAGGCACCAGCTGGACTCTGGAAAACTCACTCCCTTCCTGCGGAGTGAATGCTTCCTCAGCACTGAGGACTGGAAGTCTCATCCCAGATCTGCAGCCTAGAGGTGAAGATGCTTCTATGACCTTAATTGTCATCCTGTCATCTCTAGGGCTGCCGCAGCATCCCTGAACAGAAGACACACACTCTCATGTTAGGCTCATTGGTTTGACATTTATTCCAGTGCTTTCCTTGCTTTACTCTGTTGCTTTTCTGGGCACACCACGTTTCATGCCTTTGCTCTCCCAGTATGAGCGCAGCCAGCCAAGACCTTCTATTGTGTCTCCTGCATGGTAGATGAAGGATTGTGCTAGCAAGCCTAGCCAAACTACAGCAGCTTCTGCTCTTGTTTCCAGGTAGGGACCCCACTGCCTACCACCCCCAGTCACATCTATGTTTGAACAGTCCTGGAGGACCAGTCCATGCTGGGATCTGCTTGGGGGGTTCAGAGCACACAGCCTCACTCACCTTTTGGTGCATACTCACAGCCCACATAGCCGGTGTAGCCAAGGGACTCCAGCAGCTTGAAGATGTAAGGGAAGTTCAGCTCCCCAGGGCTGTCGGGCTCGTGCCGCCCTGGCACCTGTGCGATCTGGATATGACCTGGAGGAAATGGGAGGCTGTGCCCTAGGCAGCCCTGCCTGCAGCCATCTGTCAGCATAGGATGGGGGGACCTGAGAGCATCCCTTATCCCCATCTTCAGGTCATGAGACCCAGAGAAGCTAGGTCAGACAGAAGGCATTACCAATGAGTGGGAGGTATGTCTCCAGGTTACGTGACAGATTCCCATCCATGATCTGGCAGTGAAAGAGGTCCTAAGAAGAGAAAATTCAAGAGAGTCGTTGCAGCTGTTCAGTGGAGGATGGCTGTGCCACACTTCCTGCCTCTCTCTATGTCCTCAGAAGAAGATAATGAGTTCACAGCCTCTAAGCCCATGCCTGCTGCCCTCCAACTGCTGTGCTGTGCACTCAGGGCTCCACTCACCAGCTGCAGCCTCAGGTTGGGCCGTCCCACCTTCTCCAGGATGGCTGCAGCTGAGGGTGCAAGAAATAAGAGCTGGTTAATGCCAGACTAAAGTTTTCAGGGTTTCTTCAGTGTCAACCTCCTGCCTCTATGCTCAGACAGCAGCCAGGGCTGCCTCTTCCTCCATGCGGGAGCCTTTGGGAGAGCTGTACCTTGGTGTGGGGTATTCAGGAAGTAGCGTGGGTCAGTGATGCGGCTGTTAATCGGCTCCACCAGCCCCACCATGTTCTCCTGTCACACAGTAATGTCCCCTCAGCAGCACGGCCTCCACATGCTGTTAGTGGCGACTCTCCATCCTCAGAGCTATTCCCACAGAGGACCCACTCCCCCATTACCTGGGCCAGGACATCAGCAGCATGCCTGAGGTTCTCAATGAAGGTGGCCTCCATCTCACCTGCCACTGCTGCCCGCTCTGCACCCTGCGGCACCCGCCCGGCCATCAGGTGGATCCTGTGGGCACATAGAGCTCAGCTCCATCCCCAGGCCAGGGGTGGGGGCTGACATAACTGCTCTGCAGGCACAGAGACAGCGCCTGGCATGCGCCATGACAGGCTGCACACAGGGTGCAACAATGGGGCTGGAAAAGGAGTCTTAGGGAACTGTTGGGTGGAGGAGCAATGAGAAGTCAAGCAATCTTCAGCACTGCTGTTAATGCAGAAAAGAAGCAGACTCAGACAGGTGTGGGTCTGAGTGCGGGACCTTGGTCTATGCTGCTGAGGAAAGCTGCTGAGGAAAGTAACGATGCAAAGTGAATGGGACACTGGTTTTCTGGAGCGGGTTGTGTCACTACTTTCATCTCTTACACGCCTACAGCACGTGGCCCTCAACAAAGCAACCGCTGTGGTGACACGGGGGAAACGGCTGGTACAGGTGGGGAGAAGGAAAGCTGCGAGGGGAACGCCGCGCGGAGCCGAGGACAAGAGCCTCCGGGCGGACCCACGGGGACGGAGCAGCTTCGCGCCGCGCACAGCACGCGGCAGTCCGGCACAGCGCGGGGCGCTGCAGGCAGGGGCGCGAAGGGCGAGGCGGGGCACGGAGCCCGGCGTGCCGCTGCGGGGCAAGTCAGCCGAAGCCCCGGCTCCAAGAGGGACGTCGCCGGGGCTCTGCCTCGCACCTACCTGGGGCAGCCCACGGCACGGGCGTACCGCACGGCCTCGGCCAGACCCTGCCGGAAGGCGTCCTGCCGCCCGGGCACGGCGCCCAGCCCCATCTCGCCCCGCTCCCCGTCCCCGGGCGGGGTGTTGAGGAGCACGACCCGCAGCCCCGCCCGCTCGGCGGCGGCGTGCAGCGCTGGGGCCGGGCAGCCCTCGGGCCAGGCCGCCTCCACCGCCTCGAACCCGGCGCGCGCCGCCGCCTCCAGCCGGGCCGGTAGAGCCGGCAGCTCCGGGAAGAGCCACGAGAGGTCGGCCGAGAAGCGCAGCGCCATGGCGGGCGGGCAGGCGGGGCTATGCAAAGCGAGAGCGAATATGGAGGGAGGGGCGTGGCCTCGCTTGCCGTGGGCGGGGTACGGAGATAGGGAGTAGCAGCGCCGCCATCTCGCAGTGCTGCTGTGAAGGCGGGCTGCGCGTGGGTCTGTGGGGCTGAGGGTGCTGCAGGGCGGCGTGCTGGGTGAGCACGGCACAGAACAGCACGGCACGGCACAGAACGGCACGGCACGCCGCCTCCCTGGGTGCGGTGTTTCTGCCAGGTGTTGGTCTGACACACGCCTCGTGCTGTGTTAATTGGTTTCCTGGGGAGCTTGTCTGCACCGGGGCCTCGTTATGCAAGGTGCGCTCGCTTCCTGTCCCACGCGGTGCATATTTTACCATGTTTTACCTCCACCAGCTCTGCGGAGCTGGGCGGGAGCATGACCTCTCTCTGCCGAGTCATAACCGGGACCCGTCCCTGGACTTTGTCCGAGCACCGAGGGGTTGTGTGGTTGTGCAGTGGCCCAGCAGCACGCTGACGTGCCTGCGCCAGCTTCCCTGCCAGGAAGAGGCAGCAGAACAGCCCCAGCTGCACTCGTGACGTCCCAAGGCTGTGCTTTCCTGCGAGCATTCGTCCCGATGTGGCCCCACAGCAGGTGTTGGGGTCAGGGCAGTACGGGCCAAGGGGAAAGCAGCAGCGAAACGATCCATTACAGAGTCTCAACTCAATTAAGGCTATTGATTAATCAATTAGAAGAAGCTCAACTCAACTTCTCAGCAATAATCAGAACTGTCCCCTGTGATAGACAGCTGTGCCAGGGTACAGGGCTGCAGTGTGTGTCCCTGGAGTGCATCACCAGTGTGTGCACACAGTGCAAGCGGGCTCTGTGCTCCGTGGGGCTGAAGGAGCTCCTGTCGGGCTGCCCTACAGCCACATCTGGATCCCGAGAGGTGGAGATGTGAGCAGGAGAGGTGGGCGTTTATGAGCTCTTGCACCGAGCCTGCCCTGTGAGCGGCGAGCGCATCTGTTGAGCTCTACAAATTAATGGGTCCTTTCTATCTCTGGTAATGTATTTCATTGATTTTCCCTTGTTATAACTGCAGTTCCTGCATTGCAGTCTGGTGTTTTGTCACTTTACCTTGACAGGGCACAGCGGATTTACTCACTGCTGCTTGGCTGGCCAGGGCAGTGCAGTGCCATGGGATTGCTGTGCTGTATCATGCACCCTGCCTGCCCTGCAGGCACAGCCCTGTGTGCGCTTTACTGCCTCATAGAAATCAGCACTTGCTTACTATTGGCCAGCTGAAATTTTGGAGCAGACTCGTCCGTGACTCCTGCGATGGCAGGGCTGGGATAATACAGCAACTCGGCAGCCAGTTCCCTGCCAGAATTGCGGGGCGGTGCCTGTTGGGACCTGGGAAACTTGCTCTTGTTCAGCCGGATTAATGACCCATGTCACATGGGGAGCCTGGGGAGTCACTTCCCAGTTTGTGCTTTGACCCCATGGTAGCGTCACTGCACCGCACAGGGAAATGTGCTGTCCTCTCCCCAAAGCCAGGGCAGGGATTTCTGCGTTCACGAGCGTGCTTCAGTCCCAGCCCTACTTCGTTGTGGCCCCTAAAAGCACTCGGCTAAAAATCCATACATCATATCCTGGGAAACAAACGCACAGCCTCTACCAGCGTTATGGCCATCCTTCATCAGTGAGCAGCGAGCCGGCTCTGGATGCGATATAAATCCCAGCAAAGCCAAGATGGGAGGCAAAGACCGGGCACCCCACATCCCTCACGTCAGCTTTCAGCCCCGAGCCATGGGTGGGCAATCCCCATGCAGGTCTCTGGGGTGTTCTCCTATCACCAGATATTAATGAGGAGGCCAGATTCTCCCCTAGCGCTTGGAGGAGGCCGGCACGGGCAGCGCCTGGGCCTGCTGAGCTGGCAGATGTTGTTTAACATTCCCGGCAGTAATTAATAGATGGCTTCATCACTCTTGTATGATTCAAACGTGTCGTCCCGCTTCTTTCCAAATACAGAGCAGAAATATTTGTTAAACGTGTCTGGCGTTTTTGCACAATCATTAGCACTCCAACAATTCCAGCGGGCGCAGGATTTATAGCCTTGCCAGGATTTCTTTTGGCCTTATTATGCCTCAGACATTCCTCCCTCCTCTGCCGATTCCTTTATCAATTTCCCCCTGATTTATGCGCTTGTAACTTCTCCTTCACCACTAATATGAATTTCCCCTTTCCCACCCATTCCTGGCCACCAGCCGCAGCCGCCATTTTGTCTCTGCGGGCCCTGCCCTGGGCTGTGCCCTCTGTGGGGCTGCCTGTGCTGCCTGTTCCTCCTCCTCGCCCCCGAGGCGTGCGCTTGTCACAACTATTTTGTCAGCTCGGAGCGATTCCCCTGCACCCCGTAATCTTGATGCCAATCAGCTCCATAACAGCCACTTTGGTGGGGAGCGATTTCCCCGCCAGCCCAGCGCTGCACACAGCTATGTCAGCAGACGCCTGCAATCACGCTGTCGGCGGTGGTGTGCGCCTGGGGAGCGAGCCCAGCCCTGTACGGCCCCAAAGCTCAGCCCCGGAGCTCACGCCTTGCCCACGGGCCACGAGCGCCACCGGGAGCTCGTCCTCAGCTCCATCCCCTCTGTTGGTGACACGAGGACAGGACCGGCTCTGTAGCCCCACCCGCGGTCCTGCCTGCTGCGTCCCCTTGCAGCCCGGTCACCGTGTTAAGCCATCTCTTAATTAATCAGGCTGATTGTAATGTGTTTTTAGGGCATTAAAATTCAATTGTGGAATTCTCCGCTGGCTGGGCTCGCGATGAATACAGAAGTTTGCCTAATTAGAGCTGACACACAGCCGGCGGGAGAAGCAGGCCAGTGGCCCCAGAGAGCTGCTCAGCCCATGTCCTGCACCCGGCCCCATGCCCCCGCCCCAGATCAGAGCCCCTACAGTTGTAGGGTGTCATAGCTGCGGCAGAAGGGGCTGCAGAGAGGGGCAGCTTCCAGGTCTGCTGCCGTGCCCTGGGATGCCCGTTTCTGGCACAGCATCCCTGCCTGCGCTGGGGCGCGATGGGGCACTGCAGTGAGGCATGGGCAGACCCCACCACAGGCACCAGGCGCTGCGTGGGGCACTCAGAGCAGGGGCCGTGCTGCCCCATGTCCCCGTGGCAGTGAGGGAAGGTGGTACCTGGTCACACCACGCCGAGGACAGCCCTGGCCATGCCACCCGCATCAGTGCAGGGCCAGGCACCAGCCAGGAGCAGTGGAGATATTTTCTTATCCACAGCATCAGGTCTTCTCTGCTGTCATTACCACGGCAATTATCATCTCATTTGGAGTCTTTAGCTGCCATAATCTGTCTCTTGCACTGATTTATTCTGCAGGCCTCTTCCAGAGCAGAGCAGGAGGGACGGGGCCATCACAAAGGAGGCAAGGAGGGTCAGGGAACTTCCTCATCTGGAGCAGAGATACCCCCAAGGGAGGTGCAGCATCTTCCCTGCCCTGAGACCACGCCTGGCCAGGACGAACCAAAACATGCATCCCAGGATGGACGGTGGGATGCATTCCTTAGGATTTCAGCTCTGAGAACTGCTGAAAGCTGCTGCTTTGTGTTGCATCCATAACCACACAGGGTGGTGTGCTTCCCTTTCAGGCCAGGACAAATGCATCTTGCTATTCCTAGGCACAACTTGGAGAAGAATTATTGCCTCCACAGGGACAATTTCTGCCAAGCCATGGTTTCATCACCTTTCTCTTGTCTCCAGACCAGACTGCTGCTTGCTGTTGGTTTCTCTGTGTTTGCTTCAATAATTATCTCCCGCTCCCCAACACTCTTTCAGCCGCTAAGAGTTTCATTGATATTTTCAGCAGCTGCATTTGATGACTGCCAAGTTTTACTCACTGCTCCTAGCTCTCCAGTTTCCACAGGTTGTGTTCAGCTGCCATCTCATCTCTCCCTGCATCTCTCACCAGGGAGAAGGGGAAGCCCTGGACTGCCCACAGGTCCCAGAGATGCCAAAAGCAAGGTATCTCCATAATCCCTAGCTCTAGGGTCCTGCTGGTCCCACAGTGCTGCCCCTGGACATCCTCGGAGTTTTTTACTCAGGATGGATCCTGTGCCCCAAAAGTGCTGGTGTCTGTATTTGGTGGCAATGACAGCTGGAGTGGCAGAAATGGTGACAGAGCTCCCCTCTCCTGTCCTGGAGGAGAGACAGAGCAATGAAACAGGGACAGCAGGACAGTGCCAGGTGGCCACCAGCCGTGAGCACCATCTCCCCTGCCTGGCACCGAGTGCACCCCCAGGTCTGGCACACACATCTAGGTCCGGTGATGCTTCTGCCTTCCTACCCGCCACCATTCAACTTGCCTAATGGAAGCCGTTTATATGCAAAATCCCCAGAAAAAAAAAACGGTAATTAATGAAGTCCCTTTCATTACCATTATGCAAATGCGATTAATTTCAGCTGTTATGAATATGCAAATATTACAATTATGATCTAATTGCCAATGTGCGTAAGGGAGCGGGCAGAATATCAAGTCACAGCCCCAGCCCCAGGAGCTTTGGGGTTCAGCAGGAGGGCAGAGGCAGGGGGTGCCCACCCAGAGGGCTCTGCAGCAGGGATTCAGTGGAGATGCAGCAGCAGCTTCCTCCTGGGTGTAGGGACTGCGAGGTGGGGACCAGCTCTGTTGCTGGGGTTGCTGATTGCAGCCCCGTTCTACTTGGGAAGTGGCTCATCTCTGGGCTACGAGGAGGAGGACGAGGAAGAAGAGGAGGGTTACCAGGCAACTCAGTGCTGCAGCAGCAGAGCAACATGGATGTGAACAGCAGCAGCAGGCAGAGCCATGCCCTGACCCCACTCCTTGCAGTGCCTGCTAACGCTGCGTGCAGACCCCAGCCAAGCTGCATCCTGGCCATGAGGATGCCTTGCACGAGGCTGCATTCCCACACAAAGAAGGGTGGGTGTGTGGGTGTATCCAGCAGGTTGTGCTCCTGCACCAGTGTCTCAGTGAGGCCAGGCCAACACCGGACACAATTGCTCCCCATGCGGATGCCAGAGCCAGCCAGCCCCAGGGCTGCACTGCAGCAGGACACACTGTCTCCTGCATCGCTGTGCTGACCTGTCACGCTCTGATACACAGGTCCTACTCAGCCTGGTGGCAGCTGGGGATGCGCTCTGGGCAGTGCAGCAGCTGGCCCAGCTGTGCCCAGGGCTGCCTTCCCCTGGCCAGCAGCCTGCAGCTGTGCCATCACCTCCCAAACCCAGCGCTGCTCTCCCTTCTGGGACATCAGGTCAGTCCCGAGGTACTGGTGTCCCCTGTGCCACAGCTTGGAGAGGTCAGTGTCCCTGCCCTAGGGCTTTTCCTTGCCCACTGCTAGTCTTACTGCAGCAGCAGCAGCAGGGACAGAAGAGGACCCCAGCATTGCTCACACTAATTTGAGTGCAATGTGCTTAATTAGTGACTTCTCCTCACACATGGGCAGGAGGAAGCAAGGATAAGGCCAATGCAGCAGAGTTCACAGCCCCCAAGCCCCCAACCCCTTCCCAAAGGGTTCAGCTTAGAGAAGGAGGAGGAAGGATGGATTCGCAGAGCTGTTGCTCTGTTTCCAAGGCAATGAGACACGATGGCTGTTCATCCCAGCGGGGTCATCGCTCTGCAATGCAGTCCCGGAGCTGGGGGAATGCTCACCACCAGCCCAGCCCCACAGCCTCAGTGCCCCGATGCTGTCAGGACCTTGAGGTCATGGGTGTTCTGGGGCTGCAGTGCACTCAGTGCAGGTCAGGTGCCATCTCAGTGCACAGCCCATGTGGGGACACGCAGGCTGCTCCCTGTCACTTGCCATCAGTCCCGGGGATGGAGAGGGTATGTTTAATTCACTTGCACAGCTGCTGCCGTGTTCTTCAGCCACTGGTGGATGCCAGACCTGGGGTGCCCTCTCTGGTGCAGGAGAAATATGAACATAGTGCAAAGGTGGTGTGTCCATCCACCGGGGCTCCAGGCACCATTCTTGCAGCAGCATCTCCACTCCCTCTCCCCTCCCATATGCCCGGTGTGTTTTCCAAACTAATTGAATTCAGAGAGATTTCTTCCTGGCAGTGACAATCGATGAACCCTGTGTTATTGCCCCCCCCTCCCCTCAGCACTGGAAATGGATATGGACGAGGGGAAAAATTGAATTTGCAGCCATTTTTATTGGGATTTAATTGGGCAGTCTCACCTCGTTGCCTTAATCCCGGGCACTGACGCGTGCAGCCAGGCTGGCAGCTCCCCTTATTTATCACTTTTCAAATATTTGCCTCTTGGTAGCAGTGGGAAATCGATGTTCCTGCCTGGGGCATGCCGGGAGCGCCCCGAGCAGGCGGCTGGGGATCCATCAGCTGCTGCCATCGCTATCGACAGGGCAATCGGGGCTTAAGAGGCACTTGGATAGCAGAACTGGCACACATTAAGTGCTCGTCATCAGGAGATGATCGTGACTTATTACCGCTAATTTTCCCAGCACAGCAGAGGGGCTGAAGGGGCTCTTCCATGCTCATCACCACACTGGTGTCATGCCCTCATACTGGGGACAACCATTGTCCCCAGGACACGGGTGTTGCCCTTTTGGTGTGCTGTGATGTTGGAGGGCCTGGGGGCTTCCCCAAGCAGAGGAACTGGGGGGCATGTGGAGGGGACAGACTGGGCTGTGCTGAATGTTTCCAACCTGTGCCCAGCCTCATGTCCGATCTCCTGTGTCCCCACACCATCCCTTCATTGTGGAGCCAGCCGGATTGGTGTCACTGAGCCTCAACACTTGGAAAGTATCCAGCAATGCGCAGCCAGAGAGACATGCTGGGTGGCAGCGAGCAGACTGCTGTCACAGCACCGCAGGCTGCCAGCTCAGCACTGCTCCAGGGGCAGTGAGCAGCCCCACATTGTCCCTGATGGCTGGGGACGGGAATTCTGGCCTCAGTGCCCCAGCATGGGGCAGTGATGTGGTGCTTCTGAGGTGCATGAGATCCCCCAGATGTGGTGCAGCATGAGCTGAGGGTCCCATCTCACTGCC